AAAAAAAAAAAAAAAAAAAAAAAAAAAAAAAAAAAAAAAAAAAAAAAGCCACCCACCCGACATTATTACCAAATCAATGAGAATCACCAGCACGTGAGATAATGGAGAAGACACCAGTGTGTTGCAGGGCTCGATGAAAAGCCGTAAAACCGGCCGTCCACCACAAATACACGCCGTATCGTCGCAACAGCTGGCCTCGCCACCAGCGTTGGGGTAACAGCAGAGCTTTTTTTACCAAGGCCGATGATACTGTATGCCTTACGTACACCCAGGTACTTTCTGCAACCAAGTACAAAAAGTACTTCACTGGGACTAGCTGCAACAAGAGCTAAGAAAGAAGAGGGGGTGGGTGAACAAATAAAAAACTAACAATAAAAATAAAAATAAAAAAGGCAAAAAGGAAGATTGCGGGAGGGGGGCTATATCCTGCGCGCAACATTAGCGATGACAGTGGAACAACAATGGCGTGCGGGCCTACAAAGGCTCTCTCCGTCTATCGCGCAGTGGAGTGGCCGACGATACGCGTGTATACCTATTTGTACTTGCTGACAATGGGGGCCCTGCTCTTGGGACAACAATGCCAGCGCAAAATGGAGAGCCGTGTCGCGCATCTGCACTGTCTCGGCTACGGAGAGAGGAACTAAGTTGTATGTGGATATATTAGAGCCCATGCAATGGTGGTAGTCGGGTCTGCGCGCAAAAAAGAAAAGAAAAAACGAAGAGAAAGGGTACGTGCGCGGTTTGAGGAAAAAACGGCAAATATGTGCGCTGTGCTTTGGGTGTACACGTTACTTAACACGGGGCGTTTGGGTTTCAGGTTTCCGGTGTACGCGGCTTTCGAAAAATGTCAAAACGATGCCTCGTAGTTTTTTTGCAAGTTTTTGAAAAAATTCCAAGCCAGCCATCATGACGATCATTTTTCCGTCATCGATTTCAATTCAACAAATGCACACTTTCAAGACCACCTATGAGAAAACTCCAAGATACGCTTATATGCTCAGAGAGAGAGAGAGAGAGAGAGAGAGAGAGAGAGAGAGAGAAAGTGGAAAAATGTTTAAGCCATTAAATCCTCCAGAAGGCGGAACGAGCCACCGTAGAGCTTGCAGCCTCGAGCTTGTTGGTCCATGCAACTTTAGAAGCTCCTATATTATACTCTTGGCAACAGAGTATTTTGTAAATATATACGCGCGTGCAGTACATACAGTATGTACAGAGTCATTCCAAAGCCTCTCGTCAGCGGTGACGAGCAATAGCAGAGCACACTCGGCTCCTCCGAGCAATTAACGACTTTTCAACGATCCTCGACAGACGCCGACTCGCGCACCCACGCGAGAGGCCATCCTCCTTCGTATTCTCCGTTGCACTTGCAGGGAATACTCGATATCAATAAAAAAATGAAGTACCAGTATATGAATCGAGGAGGGCAAGAAAAAAAACAGTGAAGTAGGATCTAGGTAAACATGCGTCGTCATTGTTATTCCCGACACAGGAACAACAGCAGGGCTGTCAGGTCTATATTTTGTGACATTTTGTAATATCGAATGGATGCAAGCGTATTAAAATGGATACTGGTACGCTTCCTAAATGTATTATATTATCTCTCGTGTAATCTACAAACCCTCCGAGCTGCTTCTAAATCTTTCCAAGTCAACTCCTGGATAAAAAAGAAAAAAAATAAATAAATAAATAAATGGCAAGCAAGTCATGCGCCATTGCCTAGTCGCGAGCAACAGAGTGCCATATATGTTACGCCTACATAATACAATATAAGTTAGACAACTCAATGTAAATACGAGCGAACGGCGCGTACGCGCGTTATCGCACGCAGTTGGAGGTGTAATCCACGCAAACACATATATTGCTACATGACAGAGACAGAACGACGCGTGGCCTCCCAAGCAATCGAAAACTGGTAACTTGGTAAGTAGTGTATTTACGACCGAACCAATGACTTCAGGAGAGCTGTGTAGAACCTTTTTTGTGCGTACTCGCGTATGAGTGAATTTTTCAACTCGCTGGTTTTTGTCTTATTCTCACACAAGGAAAACTGTGCGTCACTTGAAGATAGTAGGCCTAGGCATTTATCAAACGTTGATAACGTATATCTGGAAATAAACCTGGAAAAAGTTCTATAGGTACGGAAAAGGAATTAAAAAAAAAAACTCTTGGAAACCCGCTCGATGCGATAAAATACTTGCGCGCTATCGACACGCGTATCATCGATTACCGATACACAATCGAGCGCCTCGTACCTGTACACACACATATAACTCGAGTGCGCGCGACGACAGCAATAATGGGTAGGAGAGAGAGGGGGGAAGCACAAGAGAATCAATTTCCCGAGGCAGCAGCCATTTTGGCTCGCCCTCGCGGCAGGCGCGCGCAATTTTCACCCCCTCGTCGCCCAACCGTGTATAGGTATATATATATATGTGCGATGTACAATACACGCCATTGCACGGCAGTCTCCGGTGGCAAATATATGTATATATCCTCTCGGGCGCTGATTGCAATCAGAGTGGGTGGGAGAGCCCTCTCTTTCCGAGGAGGACTTCCGGCCTCTCTCTCTTGCTTCGAATTCAGCTCTGGTGTGCAACTACACTGGGGGGGTCGACCCGAGTCTTGACTCAGCGTTTCGCTCTCTGAAACCTCTCTTTGTATAGGTGTGTGTGTATGTACAACCTAAGGGAGAGAGAGAGTCAAGGAGTGTATGTAGATGAGCGATGGCTTCACGAAGCTTATCGACTTCCGTTTCCTCCTTGTTCCCAAAAAAACGTCTCTTTATACGCACACGTGACCCCAGCTTCTGCCCTCTTTCATCTACTTTTGCAAAAACTACCCTCCGTATGTTAGACGATCTCTTGCGCGTTGTAGATTTTCGATCCGTCACAGCTTCGTATCACATGCAGGGTCCATACATGTACGCTGAGCGAACCCTCGTTAGAGTCCCATTGTTCGTGAGCGACGGTTTGTGCGTTTATTGGTATACACAGCATGCAGATAAGGGGGAGGGGTGGAACTCGCTCGACCGTGAAAAATTTAGCTTAGTTTGGTGGTGCTCAATTTTTTGTTTTTGTCACGTTGCACACTTCAGATTGTCGACAGGGGAGTTTGGTGATCGTCGCCTAGTAGAGAAAAACGCGTTTATTTATTGCAAAAAAAAGTCACATGGCGTATCTGTTTGCCGGTCGTCGCGTAAACTTTACGTATAGGGTTCGATGAGACAACCCGCCCGAACAATCTTACCCCACGTCTCATGTTGCATGAGCGTTATTCGATTGTGATCGGACATGGTTCGAGAGCCATGTAAAATATTGGTGCCATTGCCGTGTACATGAATAATTCCCATAGAAACCGGAGGTAAAGTTCAACCTAACAGTCGGGGCACATCAGATCACCTGTACGCGCCTGTATCGCCACCCAAACTCGACGGTAGCGATATAAAGAAAAAAAAATGAACGGAGACGGGGAAGTATATCGGTACACGATCACAATGACATATAGCAACGGCACGCAGCAGGGCGCGCTAATTAAGGAAGGAAATACAAGCGAAGGGGGTGGGGGTACGCGTGGGCGGATGCGAGCAATGGAGCCGGCAATTAAGAATTGTATCTTATTGTTGTCGAGTCGTGCACCCTCTCTCTATTTTTTCTTCCATCGCTCGTCCAGCGGGAGCCTCCCTTTTCCACCCCGCACTCTCCCCCCAGCCCATCTAACCAATTGCCAAATTGGCCCCGACGATTAACGATCGGGAGCCCCCTCCTTGCCGTCGCTCTCCGAGAGGGCCGCCGATGAGGGCGTACGCGCCCGCGCACTGGTGCTCTCGGCTCTCGGCTCGTTTTGCGGAATGGCGTCATTACAATATATACACAGGTGGGACGGGTAATGGCACTGTCGTTCGTGACGATTGTTAAGGTACGCTTCGAGCACTGGGGGTTACCGACATTTTGGGTAGTAGGTAGTGGTGTGATCAACGTTGCGTTCCGTGAGTTGTTGTGTTGCCGCTCTGTATAAATTTTAGTTATCATCTTCAAACAAGTGAAAATGAGGGGGATATACGACTGTGGAGTTGATGGTGTACAATGTACAAATTGTACATTAATCGTTATCCTTATCAGAAAATGTGATTGTAACGACTACGTGTGTAAGACATTGTACACAAAATGTTTTTATTTATTACTTTTTATTTTTTTTTTTTTTTTGAGATATTAGTTCCTATTCGCGCTTGGAAACAGTATGTAAATATTTGTAATATCATCAGAGAGACGAAGAAAAAGAAAAAAAATAAATAAATAAATACTGACCTGCGTGGGCGTTAGGTGAATGATGGATGCGAGGTGCTCGCGCTCGGGGGCGCTCAGGTACTTTTGCTGCTTGAACCTCCTCTCGAGCTCGTAGACTTGGGCCTGGGTGAACAGTACCCGGCGTTTGCGCCGCTGGGCCAGAGGGAAGGGCATCGACGGCACCCCGCCCATACCGACGCCAACGCCCACTCCCATGCCCGACGACTTCACCATGTCACCCATCGACTGGCCCATCGAGCAGCCGGTCATGTTCGTCCCTGCGCTCGCTGCCGCTCCCATCAGCCGCGATACTGCAATTATTTATTTATTTTTTTTTTTTTTTACCATACATTGATATTTACAGTTAAAACGTTACGTGATTATATCTCGTGATTATATTATTCAAATGACATTCGTGGGTTGTAAACACAAAACTATAATTTATTCATGTACTTTAAATATATTGGACGGTATTTAAAAAAAATAAAAATAGACGTTCTACGAAGTGAAAAAAATGTCATGATCAAACAACCTATACTATTTGCAATTAATTCATTGATAATTTTAACAATATAATTTATTGTCTCATTGGTTGAAATATGCTCGTTTTTAACTTGGCAAGGAGTCTGGCCCAAAAGTTACTCGAGACTTGCGCGAGAATCAGATGCAGTTACCTAATATTGCAGGCAAGCTTGCAATAAAATTGCCTGAACTCTACACAAAGTTTGGCACAATGCTTGTGTTAGTAAGTATCTTAAACATCGTAAGCGTGTCGCCAATCTGTATAAACAGATTCGCATGCAATGCCTGCGTTGATTGCGCAAGACTGTGCTACCAAAAATTTAGTGGAATATTCGTCAAAGTTAATAAAAAATCGAGACAATGATATGAGTTAATGTTTATGAAACCTACTCAAAATTCTTTTACAGTAAAATAATGAGTTCAAGACTTTTTAAGACTCGAATGTAATAATTGTGTCAATTATCTCTTAAACTTTCAGATTTTTGAGTATCATTTATTTTGAGTTTCTCTCGCCTAAACGTCTCCAATTCTTTCTCGTTAAGGACTTGAATGACCCCATGACTACGTCATAACAATTTGGTTCAAAAGACTTGGTAAAAATTTTCACTAGACAAGTCAGTTCCACTCGATTATCGATACATCATGGTCGATTACGTACGAATATTTTACCCTGTATGGTACAAAAGATTCGTAAAACAACGGGTGGCAGACAAATGGGACCTCCTAAACAGCCTGGGAACCGGAAGTTTACCTCTCGATCGCAATCACACTCGAGCACCAAACCCACCTCCTCCAAGTACCGATCGTTCGTCCAAGACAGGCCCAAGACACGCTCATTAGCATCGATCTCCTCCACCGAAGGAACGCCTCACGATCCTCTCTCCCACCCGGCGAAAACGCTCGCAACCAAGAGGAGAGCCATCGGAAATCCCCGCGCCGTCGAGTATCATCCTTATTACGATAATGACGACGATCGTTGAATGGTAAACGAGCGTCAAATCGAAGAAAAAGAAAATATCGCGTAACGCCCATGTATTATAGTACTCACAACAGCGCGCGGTCAAGTGGAGAAAGGATAATTAAGGCTGGCGCGTCAAATTAATCCGTAGAGTCAGACGGACCCTCGTCACCGGCCACCACACCACATGGGCAACGTGTGTAAATACACCCGTGATGCGTGCTCGCGCGAGACCCAAGGAAAACAACAAAAGTCCCTCTGCGGACAATGGGAAAAGGGATCTCGGCAAAAGCGCTGATTCATCCACTCGTCTTGGTGGTGGTGCTCCTGAAGACGCGCTCGAACCGGGAGGTCTATTGGGGCTTCTTCGCGAGTGGGGAACCGACACCGGCGAGTAAGCTTGACCTCCTAGATGGGAACTGATGATTGGTGCCACAGAAATCTCCTCTTCTAAACGGCACTCGAGTTAAGGGTCGTGATGGACGATGATAAATTGTTGTTCTTTCGTTTTGGATTATTAACCCTCGGGGGTGTTGATTTCCATATTTCTCTACCCATTTAGGGGAAATTGCATCCAATCTAATGTACATAAACTATTCGAAGTTGTGGAAAACTAAAAAGTTATCAAACGCCTTTTTACAGCAAAGTTTATTTTCAAACCACTGCAACTATCGACGTAAGAGAACGAAACTATACCAATATTTTATCACTCATAACTACCTCCTCTAATCCTTCGTTCAACCAAAGACTTCTATGCTTGTTGTTAGCGTTATAAACAGTTGACCCAAGCTACCCTACATCTCGCGTTTCAAAAGTTTTTTTCTCATCGTTAGGTAAACCACAAATCATTTTCCAAAATTTCATCCAAACCCAACTCTTGGGATCCACAATCTGGATAATGCCCCACATACGTGTACACGCAACACACGTTCATTCCATCCAGGGACTCAGTTGAGCAATCCACACGTAATAACACACGGAACGGATGCACCCACGAAATTAGAAATTCAGGGACGGGCAAAAGGTGCGTGGGTGTACATAAACGTAGGCTCCAAATCAAACAAACGAGAGAGTACATGGTACGGGGCACTCGGGCAAACAGACAGACAGACAGACGGTCGGACAACTCTTTTGGAAAAGAAGGAAAGAAAAAGTTGAACGAGGGGGGAGGGAGAAAGGAAAAGAGACGAGATCATGAATGGCAGTCTTTATTTTTCGAGATCTCTCGGAGCACCTCGTCATCGTGGTCCATACAAGCCAGCCCGTAACAGAAGCTATACATAATAACACGCTCTCACGGGAGAGATGGAACCGGATTCTCCGATGACTGACAGCCTCGAAAGCATCGTCATCGTAGCACGCAAGGAGGGGGGGAGGGAGGGAACGTACGGTTGTTGTTGCGCCGTACACGTTGGGCGTCCGGGTGGGCAGGTCTTGGCGTCTGCATCAACATCATCAACAGGCCCGAGTTTAAACGCTAAGCACAGCCAATCAGGCGTTCCGGAACGAGCACGAGCATCGTTAGGTATGAGCATACGAGGCCCGCCCTGGGTGTGCACGTGAAGCAGGTCTCAAGGCCATGGCCCGTTGGAGCTCGTTCATGTGTGTTATTCCTAGAAGTGTTTCAACTTGACGAGCTTTAAGGGTTTCCTTTTATCAATGGTGATTACTGAATCGCCGATGTATATAATGAGGTAGCAGGACTTTTGCCGAGTATTGTCGTTTTGATAAGCTGGAGTATGGCTCTGAATAGCGTATGGAGAATGATCAGGAGTGTTTGGGCTTTCTTGGAATGTTGATAAAATTCGCGGAGATGCCGCAAACTTGGTTGTCTTTCATGCGCGATTTTAATAGGATTAGGTATAGAAAATTAAGTAGTTCACCGAGTTTATTTCAAAGTGTTTAAATTTACGTTTACCGACCAATCTAATCATGTGAATCACGTGGTTTAATTTAATTGTTTATATACACGTTGATGCAGTTGAGGTAGACTAAGACGTCAATGAAAATGAAAACGTTAGGTTCGAATTTAAAAGGTGATAAAGAGTAGTCCGTTCAGAGGATAAAATAATTGCTGAGCGAAAAACTAGTCCTAAATGTACATAGTTTTACACTGATGGAAGAAAAGAGTCCTTGCATTTGAGTCACGGACATTGACTGTTGATACAAGCAGCTACTCGGTCGTCAACAGTTAATGAACCATGCATATGATGGTTAGATGAAGCTGAAACTAGCAGAAAAAGAGTAGCAATATCGTCAAATAACAAATTCTACCTTGAGTAATCTTAAAACTAAGTACCCTTTTATTTTATTGAATTAGGAAGGTACCTGGTCTAGTTTTAAGCGTACCCCGAGTAGAATTTATTATTTGATCGTATCGTTGCTGGAATTCGTTGTTACTTTTAGCTTCATGATGGTTAGCATTGGGGGTTACAAAAAAACATGGTTACGTTATAAAAGGCATGTTCATTAACTACAAGTGACAGCAACATAAATGCTAATGAATATTCGTTTGTTGTTAATGCAAAGCCTCAAATTATGGTTAATAAATAATTGATTAACCACAAGTAATCCTATATATCAGTGTTTTATTAAGAAATTAACTAGATTGAGGAAAAGCTTTTACATCGACGGTATAGAGTTGTAGGGATCGATTTATCATTAGTTTCAAATCATACAAACATTGCAATCGTACCGACCTAGACACGTTAAATTGTTCAGAAGAAAATGTGCTCAAACATATTACCCCGTTGCAGAATTTGTGCAAGGATTTCAATAAAACAGTATCTTCATGTACAAATATTAGAATAATTTTATAAAAAATGCATTCTTACTATTTTCATGAAACTTTTACGTAAAAATCGGAGAAATGGAGAAAAAATGGGGTTCGAATCCTGAATTGAAGAGCTCAATGAATATAGGGAAGCGTGTCTCTGACATACGAAACTACTTGTGGGATTATAACTAATAAACAGCAGTAGTAATAAGTACAGCTGAAAGTTTAAAGAACACTCAACTCTTCATCAATGAGATCTAAGTGAAAAAAGAGAAGCGGACCATATTTGTACACACACGGAGTAAGGTTATTTACATTAGCTCTTTCTCTCCTCGTGCGTGTACGCTCCCATGCCCGAGGGGATTTTTATTGCTTGTTTATTACAACATTAAGAAGAAGAAGAGGGAGAGGAACACGCCCGACGAGAATGAGACCACTGGCGTCCCGAGATCATCTCTGGCGAATTGCATGCGTATATATACACATTCAGCATCAGCTTCTGGTCTCTTTATCGCTCTTCATACACACACACACGTGCGCGCTTACACCAAATAAAAGCTCCGAACCGAGAGAGAAAAGTTACCCAAGCTCCCTTGGGGCAACATGTATGTACCCGGTGCGTATTGTTTTTTTAACTAAAATCGACCGGTCTACGACTACTGGGCTCTCGTGTCAATATGTGTATACTATATTTACGCTGATGGATTTCGATGGAAATTCGTGTAATTGTACCAATATTTTTACAGATAGAGTTTGTGAGAAATTGACAGAGTTCTCAAACTACTTTTTTTCCGGAAGGAATGATGATCGTTCTGTAGTGATAAAATTTTTCATTGGAAAGTCATAGAGATCATACACTTGGTTCATTTATCAGAAAACTCACATTCGTTATTAAATAGAAATACATGTACTCCCTTTTCTATGCATGAATTTTTTAAGGATTTTTTACAATATTCTTCAAGATTTCGGTAGCATGTTTTTTAAGAACTTTTGAATGATTTTAGAACATTTACGTCCTACAGCAATTTTCAATATTGAAAACGGTATGATCACATAAGGTGTTGACACGAAACGTATTATTGATAATACTATCCTCATACGAAAACATGAAAACTGGATTATTAAAGAACTTTGTGGTATATTTATGAAAAGTATCACGAAGTGTCGTTTGTAAAATTGTCAAGTGAATTGCTTGAGCCCTCATCAGTTTTGACATTGTCATGGAACAGTATCATCAACAATAGGTGATATATTTACGCCATACGTGACCATGATATCTGAAAACACGACCAAAGCCAGTACGCATTGGCAAGAATTGTGCAGGTACTCTTACAGAAAATATGATTCAAATTAAAAACAAAAAACTTTGATAAGGGTTCACAAGAATTTCATTGCAAATGTTACTCAAGTATCTGATTAGAGAGAATACATTTTTGATTTTAGAAAAAGGATTATTGTTTATATTATATTTGATACTTATTGTTCGCTTAAGAGAATGTTTTGACAATTCTTGTAACTCGAATTCAGGATTAAAATTTTTATCGATCAACCACAACGAAATATGCCAAAACTCCTTTAAAACTAAAATTACATTGAAATTTCGCATCATTTATCTGTTGCAAAAGCCTCATCAATTATCGGGTGACAAAACAAAAAACCCTTGAATCTTGATTTTTCTTGCATCATCGCAACAATCATGACATCGAAAATGTGAGGACCTTCGCGCCAATATGATCCTGCTATTTTCAGGATAACGAATGATTCTAAAAAGAATATTGCAGGATATCCTAGCTTCTCAAATTTTTACACATAAGAATCGCACTAAACTAACTTCTTTCAAATTGTAAGGTAAGTACCATTGCAAGTTTGACCAACCCCTTTCATCTGGACATCACAAGCACCAAACTGTCATTCTCGGCAATTTCCTGAGTGTACTCATATAGACTCGAGCCAGAAAGAGGGAAACAAAACGAGAACCGCCCGAGCGTGCACTTAAATCCACGCACGTATACATAACGGATACATGATAAGTAGAGAGAGCCGGTGTGCGCGTATGTACATGGGCGAATAGGAAAATCCGGCCCTTGAAGAGCGGCCGGAAGGAGCCGCTGACGGGCGACGTGTGTCGCGTCTCTTGACGACACATATATATTCCGCACGCATGTATGCATGGGCTCTTTTACAATTGGACGCGCAGTAAGTGCAATTCTCTACTTGTATTGACTTTGAAACTAGAGAAACCAACGATAACGACGAGATGACACCCTCGAAGCGCGTAGATATGTATGTCCATTCAGTGTGGGTTGATTCGGGGGTTGTATCGTGTCACACATAGCCGGCGGCCAAGCTGCTATTTATGGGAGAACGTGATCCGTCGGCCGTCCTTGAGATTACGGACAAGTCCCTCCGCGGATTGGGTATATACACTACCGAAGACTGTACCTACTTGCGTGTAAATACAACTTGTATTGTCATACGGACACAGTTTTTCCACCCTCTCTGTTGTTTAGCGGGTATCGGGTCGTTTGCACTCTATCAGGCTGTTTATATTCACTTCGCTTTCGTCAGTTTTTTTTGGGGGGTTGGTCCATTGTTTCTTTTACTTTCCTATCGAATATGGATTGTGTGAGTGAGTTTTCTTCTTTTTTTCTTTTTGCACCTCATAATTTTTAGAAGAGACGTAAGAATTCCATAGTATGACGATTACGAGGACTGAATAATTTAGACTCTCATTGTCCATGTTCTACCCATTGAGTTGATCCAAGAAATAATTGTTCCTTCGTTAATAACGAAAAGGGTTTGAAAGAAACAATTGAACAGTTTCGCTGAGTAATTTTTGGAATCGTATCGATATCATTGAGTTTACTATTTTTTATTGATGCAGCAAGCTTCGTGTGTAGTTCAGTAGGCAGGGTATAGGTATCGTAAACAAAGAGCATATTCTTAATTTGAACCAGTGAAAAACCATTATGATTCCAAGTTCAGATTTTTTACTTATTCGCTACGTCATTCAGAAAAAAGTCCAATTACCGTCAGAAGAAATTTTATTACTGTTTATTAACCTTTTTCGTTACACAGACTGAATAAACCAATGCGACCGTCAGTGTAACAGGAGCTTGTTGTTATGTCTGACAACAGGATTTCACGAAGCATGATTCGAAAAAACTCACAGTTTGGATGAGAGACTCGTCAAAATATTTCGGGAAAACAAACGAAACTTGAGTTATCGAGACGTGTATTGTCGATGTCGCTAAAGTGTGTGTGGAGAAATATAACTTTAAAAAGAATTGACTAAATCGTTATTTTTTTTTTTTTTTTTTTTTTTTTTTTTTTAATGTCCAAAATATGTTTCAGATACTGATTAAAACAAAGTAAAACACGGGCTTATCCGACGCCAAAAGCCATGGATTTCAATCGAATGGTTTTCATTGTAAGGAAACGGCAAAGAAAACAATAGAACCACAAGAATTCCAGCCTCTCGGGGGACCACGAGAATACGACGCGGTAAGCAAGAATTCGTCGAGGCACGTACCCCCCATCTGACATACGACGGAAGAAGAGGAAACACCAAAGCTTGGTTTTGCACTACAACCACAACAATTTGTTTCTAGTACTACAGTTTGTAAATGAAATAACTTGGAATGAAGAACATTTTTGTACATAAAGAAAAGTTAGCACTTTTTGTTTCAGCGATTTCACTGTTCATATGCTCAAAAGTCACAACCAACACTTTCACCATCGATTATTTCGAGTTTTCTAGTATTTTTTTCACTGCCTGGTGTTTGATATTAAAAAAAAAAAAATTCAGGGTTTTGAATCACTTAAAAAAAATTTTTAAAACCATACAAAATACATCTAGCTTACTAGCACACAGTTTTTGGAGTAATTTTCTGAGGCCGTGTTTTACTAGGGAAAATTCTAACAACATAGAGTTTCCTTCAACTATTAAGATCCTCTTAGTAAATTGAAAGTATAAAATTACAGCAATTACTGTACCAACTCTGTAAGCTGGTGATATTCTATCGTCTAGAGACATTTTAGTTTTCGAAATTTTATCACAACTACTGAACAGAGCAATTTATGTGTGTCAACCATAAAACTTACCGCAGGTAGCAACAATATAAAAGTTGCTGTTCTGAGCAGTAAAAATGAGTATTAACAGCGAAATTCTCTACACGATGAAACGCCATTCTCTTACAATATTAGCGCAGTAAGTATAATTTTTTCTTTTATAGTATGTCTCGACTTATTGGTATTATTATTATTAACCTTGGATATTTAAATATACTTGCTAAACCGATGTGCTATATTAAGTCTGCATACACAAAAATATTATGTTCAAGACACTGGTTCGATAGAATAAAAGAAAAGTCTTATTTAATCAACCAAGAACTCATGACACGGTAAATATCGAACTTCAGAAACAAGCCCCATTTTTTACTATTAGATGGCACATTGAACCATATCAAATAGGAGTTAGAACAGTTAGAGGGGGTAGGAACAAAGATACGGAGGTACCCATAAACAGTCATCAGAACTAGGATTGGAACCCCAACTCGCTACATTCTAGAACGGTAATACACTATTTTTGTCATTATGATCTTTTGTAATAGAAAGAAAAACTTAGAAAGTCTATAACCACTTGCAATAACCCCTGCAACATAATCTTCTCTCACCAACTAACCTTCAACAATTAATGAATCCAAGGCAACAGTAACTATGAGACACACTGCACTAAGCGCGCCCACCTTCAGATTCAACAAATTAACCCATCATAATAATATAGTCAAACACATATACTCACTGGCATATCTTGGATCATTGGTGGTTGGCGGCGCGGGCGTATACCAGGGATGGTGATGAGACGAAACCGCGTGGGACCTCATGTGATCACCAGGGCCTCCACCACCCGTAACCCCCGGGCCACCATGATGATACGGCGACAGCTCGGCCGTGCAGTACTGGTACTGAGGGGCAAGTTGCATCGTCGCGTAGGGATTGCCCATCGCCCCCATGCCGGTGGGGCCGCCCGCGACCCCGCTGTTGCCCACAATTCCCCCGGTGACCCCGTTACCCGCGCCCGTAATTGGCCCTGGAGTACTCACACCAGGGGTCGAACCCCCGTGTAACGGTGGACTTCCACTCGAGGCGCTCGAGCTGCCGGTATTGTTGCCGGCCCCGACCCCAATGTTTCGACCACAGGCGTTCGCGTAGGGCGAGCCCTGACCGTGGGCTACAACCCCAACGGCGGCGGCAGCGGCTGCCATCTCGAGCTTTCGGTACGACTCCTCGATCGGCGAGAGGATGTCGGTGACGCTGAAGGGTGTCGTGTGAGCCCCACCTACGCCAGCTTGCGCGTGCGACGAGTGCTGATGCTTCGGGGAGAGGCTTATCGCGAGGTCCACGCCGTTCAGCTCAGGCAACAAACCCGCTTGTTCCAGCTCCGTCTGCTGCTGCTGTTGTTGTTGCTGTTGCTGCTGCTGTTGTTGTTGTTGTTGTTGCTGTTGTTGTTGCTGGTGCTGGTGATAGTTGGCGTTACTGGTCTGGCTGGATGTGTTGGCCCCGGCTGACTGGCTGCCGCCACTCATTTCGGCCAGGACCTCGACGCTCCTGCCGTCGAAGTAACGCAAATACGAACCGCAAAGAATTTTGGCGACGCTTCCTTACAAAAGTGGCATACTCTTCTCTCCTTCTATTTCTTCGTCTCCTTTTATCCGTCCAGCGAACGTCGTCCACGGAACACGACGACCGCTGTACCACGTGTACTGTCAACAACAATAACTGCGCACTTTATACTATATCACCTACACCGTCGCGCACTTGGATTCTCGTGCCCTTGTCGTCTGCACTCGCCAAGGTCTACAATCCGCCTCTGTCGTCCACCGCATAGTGTACATATGGCACACGCGCACACGCGACACCCACACACTCGATGCCCGCACTATGAAATTAATGTCGCAGGCAAGTATTAGGCTCTCTCCGCACTGCAGGCCGGCCAGAGCCGGCCGGCGGCCGACGCTGGAATATCGCGCGATCGGCTTCCGGTCTGACGGGTCGGCTGCCTCTTGCTCGGTCCGCACTGCTGCCTATTGCTCCGAAATAAGAAGAAACGGAACAGGCCAGCCTCTCGAGGTGCACTCACGCGGTCCAGTACAGACAGAACTGGGAGAGAGGTGGAGGAGGAGGGAGAGGGGGGGTGGGGGACTAGGATCTACTTCGCGCGGACCGCTACTTCGGACCGTGAGGGCTGTTGATGCTGAGGATGATCCTCTCTTCGCCAAGGAGGGTTGTTTTCTCTTCCGGCAAGTGGACCTAGCTGTCCTTTTCTCTCTCGCTCTTCCGCGCGCACTGCACATACACGCACACACCCACACAGACCCACCCACCCGCGCGCGCGAGGAGAGGGCCGCCGGTTAGGAGACGCCGTTGGTGGCGGCGCACACTCGTCGGCTTCGAGGCTAGGTTAGCTGCTGCTGCTGCTGCTGTTGCTGGTACTCGCTAGCTGGGCTCTCTCAAGCAGCCTAGGCTCCTGAAGGCTCGCTCGCACGCTCGGGCTGCCACCTCTATGGATGAATGGAGAGTACTGTTGGGGCTCTCCTGGAGAGGCCCTCTCACGGCCGCTTAGACCCACTCGAGAGACAGAGAGCGCGACGACGCTCAGCGGGCTGGGCTCTCGACTGCTGCAACCTCTCCCCCCTCCCCTACTCTTCTTGCAGCCTCCTCTTCTTCCACCTCACCCTCTGCTGCCGTTCCGACCTCTTATTCGGCCGCCACTACCACCACCACCACCACCACCACTGTGCTAGAGCAACCCCTTCCGTGCTACAATTGGGCTGACACGGACTCGCTGGCTCACCTATGTGTGGGGAGAAAAATCGGAAGCTGTGCAGGTATATGGGTATACAGTGGAAAGTCGCAGCACGTCGAGTGCAGTGAAGCCCACTACACAGGAGAGAGAAGTGCCTGCTATACCAAGAATCACGAGAGATGAGAGCTGGCTCTCCCTCTACTCTGTGTTTCCCCTGATCGCGTCAAAGGTTTGTCAGAGAAGGAGAGGAGTGCACAGCCTGCCTCTTTTTGGTCCATCATTGGAGGCTGTACTTGAGCTGTACGTAACTGGCCACGCGCCCTCGAGCTGTAGCCCAGGCCCATTGGTCCGTGTTCTCCAATAGGGCGTGCCATCACGCTCGATTGGCCAGAAGCCCCCCTGGACCCCCACTCTAGCGCCGCACCTGATTTGGAGAGGGGAGAATCGTCCCTGGGCAATAGCCAACCGGAAGTTCTGGAGCGCGTGCGTACGCGCCATGGCATAGCGGTGCTGGCACCTGGGTGGGGTGGGGGGGGGGGTTTGTGGGGGGCGTGTTGGAGAGGGGCTAAAGGAGGCAGCACAGAGCAGTGCGGTGTGAGAGCAAATTTGTGCTTCGAACGACGCACTGCCAGGGCTGCTGGGTATATTATACATGTAATATACACTATAAGGTATTATGAGGTGTTATCTGCGCACCCTAGTGAAAATACATCTAATAATATATACAATGAAGAATAAGCCAGTGCATCGTATGATGGGTGCACTCGGATTATAACTACTGCTGCTCCTGGCATGCGGGTTGAAAGTTGGATGCACACTGAGCGATTCAGAGGAATGCAGTCTATGAGATAGCCCGCGAGCGAATTTCTGAGGGAGAAAGTGTGCGTCTTTGTACGTGTGTGTGTATATGTATTTCGCAACGAGCAAATAGGAGCGGTAGGTGGTATATTGAGCATTGGACCGAGAGAAGGGAGTACGGGAAGTCGATTGCACAAGTACTATTGTGGGAACGAGATTTTGCGGTATCAGCGAGATTAGGGGGTTTAAGATTTTTTTATTTGTAAGATATGCATGCATGGATCTCAGTACATCAAATGAAATATAATTGGGTTCCTTTAGGCTCGTAATGTTAAAAAATAAAAAAAAATCTGTTAATTTTGTTACAAATTATTATTTATTACATGCGTATAAAATGTAAGCAGAGTACTCTATACAATGCTACAATTTTTTACTACAATAAAATCTTTGGTAAATTTTTTAACAGTGTGTATTACATCCTTTTCCTGGGAATATTTTGTGACATGACATACTCATTAAATACAAAAGTGTGAATTTAAGGTGATAGGTTATCTTAATGGAATTCGCAACAGTCGATCGATTTCAAACAAGTAGTGGCAAGGGAATCTCCAAGATATAGTACTGTAAACTCTTGTAGGTTATTAGCTTTTTAATATTTAAAATCCGAAAGTAAAAACATTTATACGATTTAAATATCATACGATTTTTGTCAACTTATTCTACCAACAACACAAATATGGGGTTAATATTTAAAATTGGAAGAGGAAAATTAAAGGCGTAGGTTTAAGTATCACGTGTAAAAAGTAAGATTCTGAAATCAGCTAACTTCTAAAATGTTTATTCATTTTGACTTCTCGAATCCAAGTAAAGTTGAGAATTTACTATATAAGAATCGGATTATTATGCCGAAGGAAGAAATGTTGGACAATATTGTGACTACATACTTGGAAACTGTATGAAAGACACGGCACCTTGGATTTCTAATATTTAGGAAAAATTTTTTTATCATATTTTTTTCGAACAACAAACAATTGCGAGTCATTCCACTCGCATTTCAACAGCACGTTCTATTCTTATGTTCTATTATTCATTTTTTTTCACAGTATGTATATAACAGCTGGGTAACAAAAAAACAAAAAGATTGATAGTAACGTAGCTATAAAAATTTCCGTCTGCAAAAAAAGTTGTTAGAAATGATAGCAGTAGCAAGTTTATTTTGTTGAAAATAAAATGTTGCAATAAATATTAGCATTGACTAACAGGAATCTTTCGTTTTTAACTGTAATGAGAAGTTTGAGTTCATCCAAAGCTATGAGAAATTCTGGTAAAGACATTGGCAGAGGTGGTCATATTAGCTGTACAAATGTCACACCGAATTTTGTTAACATCGCCTATGGAGTGTATAAGTTAAAGTATTGATGTCCAAACGACGATTTGATGATATCGTTTTCTTAAATATAGATGTTCAAGTTTCGTTGACTAGGAGGCTACCACGCTAACCACTGAGCCATAGAAGCTCTTTATGCACTGTATTACTATTTTAACGTTAAATAATGAGAAGATACACGAATATAATACATTACAAATTTAACAACCATACGATCTGACTTTTTCCTTTAATTTACAAATGATTAGTTAATTACAATGCACACTTTGCTCGATTGATTTTTATAAATGATAGTTTTGTACGTCTTTTCATTATTTAACGTTAAAGTATAGTTGTAAAATTAATTATAAATCTTATTATACATATAAAAGTAAGATGGTTAAGTCAATAGTCAATATAACAGCTCAGATTAGATGCCACCAGAAAAGAGAGCTTATAAAGAGAGCGCTTGCCGATCATTAGAGAATACCCGAGCTCTGTCTCTCATAAAGAAAACCAAAAATCTATCACTTATACGAAAGAAAAAAAAATCAAACTATATCACTTCCAATTAATGAGAGAAAATTTTAATCCCGTAGCTCTAAATTTACAAAAAGCACCCAAATAAACTAAATTTCTTGTAACAAATACAGCAATACTGCACGTATAGTTATACTAATTACTGGTTCTACGAAATTGAAACAAATAAAAAACCAATGCCCACACCAATGAGCAATAATATAGCTCCGTACATTTCTTTTTCAATTAACTGCAACTTTTATGTAAATATTTACAACCCTTAAGATTAAACATTGGCGAATAACATGTGTGTGTGTTTTCTAGTAAATTTCATATCACATCACAATTGACAACTACTTTGTCAGAAAGACTCTTTTACTGTCTTAGAGCTTAGGTTTTACTGAAAACAACGTATTTGAACATCCAAACGCAATACGAAATTTCTTGGAAGCAATTAGTTACCTCGTAAACCGTTAATTAGACCGTATACGTCGACAATCGTACCATTGACGAGTTATTTTTTTTCCGTAATTATACGCACCAAACTATTTTGATTCTTACTAACTCTGTGCGACAATTGTAACATCAAGTGATTTTTTTTTGCTCAGCACAAAAATATTTCCGCACAAAGTGGTTACTTCACACACAAGCAATTAAAAATACTTCTTTACGTATGGTAAAATGAGCAAAAGAACACTGTATGCAAGTAGTATAAGATAAACTCCACACATTATGTATAAAATAAATATTTTCTAAAGCTTAAACGAACAAAATTTTCATCATACTTCAATGCCATCATTTAAGGCTTAACGTCTCCAACTTCCAAGATTGTTTGCAATGAATTGTGTGAGTACGATCGACGCTCATGTGTCAAAAAACGTTAAAAGCCGCTCGTTTATTTTATCAGTTCCTGTGAAAAGGTGACTCAGTGAACTATTTAAATATTCTTAATGTTTCGAGTGATAATACTACACGAAATCAGTAGTTTAACCTTCAACTGCTGCGTGACTTTTCTACTGTATCTACAAAATAGTACCACAACACAAAAGCCACACAGTTTATAGATCGTTAGTTCTATCACGGGTGCCATACAGTTACTGTAAGTACTGCTGAAGCTCATTCGGAATGTAAGCAAATCGAAATATTTTCTTAAACTGTTTTACTGCACGCGCATAGATACAGCTACATTTATTCTGTAAGAATGTAAATTTATCATCTGGACTAATTTGTAAGGTCTGATATATATATTAAAAATTTCACTAAAACAAAATTTGTGCAATTATTTCATCAACACTTTGCCATAGGATTTTTTAATCGGAGAAGTCACAAAGTTTCGGTTTTTTTCATTAAGGTAAGCAGCAGGTTTTTACTTGTCAGATAATTGAAAATATCATAGAAAAACGTCAAAGACGATCACGAAAACATGATTTCTAATTGGCAATGAAGTCCCTGTTGATTGATTGAGTGTAGCTAAATAACTTTGAGTGAATAACATTATCAAAAAATATTGAAGCAATCGTGAACAAAGCCGAATTTACGATTCTTGTACATGAAAGTTGTCTACAAGTATTTCACCATCTAACTATTTATTTTCTTCTTGTGTCTGTGCCGGAAGCTTATCATTAAAATTATCTCGAATTCTTACACATTTATAGATAATTATAGTTATTACAGTCGGCTTTACATGTTTGCTTCTGTTTGGCTTTAGTTTTTAACCCAAGAAACATGGAACTCATCGTCGAATTTAACTTGAGTAATTTATAATACTGGTAATAAATAGCAAATCAAATCGTTTACCAATAAAGAGTAATCTACAGATCTGTCGTGAAAATCTATCTTTTTGAGCCTTAGGGAGTGGCATATGCGTCTAACTCAACTAGTAATTAAAAATTTTCTAGTGATGAAAGAAGCAAAAAATTAGGACCAGGCAGTGTTTTGCATACACTGAAGAATTTAAAAACAATTTCCCTCAAAGATGTTAATATCACAATTTTACGCAAGACATAAATTTTTTTATTTCTTAATATTACTACTGCAAAAAGTATATTTACTCAATAAGTAGGAGCTGAGCTCCTGATCATCTTTTTTTGTGCATTTTTATATGGAACTTTCGACTCCTCGAACAGTCTTATCTCCATGATTATATAGTTCAACACCGTTCTCAATATAACAGATATATGCCAATCAACTATTTACGGACTAAGATCAGTGTCAATTATAAATTTAACTTTTCATTTTCAGCTCATCAAGATCATAAAGATTCGAGAATGTCATCTGACTCTCGTGGCAACAGCAAGTTGCGTATGATCCACTGCTACTATAGGACTTGCACTCTATTGGCACTCGTAGCTGCGGTGAGTACCTACAACCTGGACGTATCACGAGCCAAAATATTCTCGGACCCAAATGCCGCGTCATCGAGACGGTCCAGTTACTTTGGTTACTCGGTGGCGCTCTACGTCCACCAAAACGTTTCGCTGCTGCTGGTGGGGGCACCACGGGCCAACTCCTCGCGTCGGGGCGACAAGGAGCAGAAGGTCTACGAGCCAGGGGCTGTCTATTACTGCGACTTGTCGAACGATCATTGCACCGAGTGGCTCCTCGACGCATCTCCGAATAACAAAATTAATTATAAAAGTGGTATTCAACAAAATAGGAACAGTGCCTGGATCGGGGCTACAGTGGTCGTGGAGAACTCTACGAGTCCCAGAGTCGCGGTATGTAGAGTATTTTTTATCTAGAAACTGTAGCTCGTATAATTTTCAGAGCTTCATTTCGTAGGGGAAGATTACCAAGTATGTGTGTCTGTTGAGACGTAGAATTCGAGTTACTGGGGTTTTTAGATAACAAATTGTTATTCGCGATCAAGTCAAAATTTTTGAATGAAATCTCTTCTACTTTGTATTTACTCGTAAATAATACATATACAGGTGTGTGCACCATTGTGGAAAGCTCAAGGGGAAACTAACTATGAATGGAAACAGAGATTTTTTTGGCGCTCGAACGGCATGTGCTATGGAATAAACGCAACCAATCCACAATCCATCCTCGCGGACTCTGTTCAAAGTACCAGTAGACACTTTCCGCTTATAGACACAAATCATCAAAGTGAGATAGACGATCATTTGATGATGAATTACGCTTTCGGCGAGGCTGGTTTCTCCGCTCACATTGTACCCAACTTTCATCGCTTAGTAGTCGGGGCTCCTGGTTTCTATGAAAGTCGAGGTTCAATAATAGTTCTTAAGGACGACAAGGATACCAACACGTTCAATGCAACTGTTGTTTCTGACACCATCAATGACAACAGATTTGACTTCGAAGGTTACCTTGGTAAGCTTCTTTTTGTCATTTGTTTACATTACTTGTAACAGTTGTAACGCACGAATGTGTGTTATTTTTAGAGAATTATTATTTTTCAATAATCCAAAATGTAGCATATCGTACACAAGTTGTATAATTAACCTACGTCAAACGATCATCAACTCATTCATTCTTATGCTAAAAAACGTATGAATCACGTATTCCTTTATTTCAAATTAACATGTTTGATTTCCATTATCACAGGTTATTCAATTACTTGTGGAAAGTTTTTCAACAATTATAAGTTTTGTTGTGCTTCTGGAGCTCCTCGGAATAAAGATTTCAGAGGAAAAGTATACATTTATTGTATTCAAGAGGACAAAAAAAGTGTTGCATTAAAGATGGACGAGTTCAAGGGCGAACAGTACGGGGAATATTTTGGCTCCAGTTTGACTGCCTGTGACGTCAATGGTGACGGCAGGGATGATTTGATCGTCGGGTCTCCGTTATGGTCTGGTGACATTGAAGAGGGACGTGTATACGCTTACGTCTCTAAATGCAATAAGGTAAGCGCGATTTGTTTTCAATTACTATATACTAATTCATGCCCGATAATTTGTTTTAAACAAGAAATCCTGTATGAACTTTCGTAAGTTCAATAGGTAACTAAGCGAAGTAGAAGAAAAACTATAATCGTATTTAGAAAATATCGATACGAATAGGTAACAAAATAGGTATTCTTAATGTTAAAGGTGAACATTTTTTTTCTAGCTAAAAATAATGTATACTATAAATATTGTCAAATAGCATTGTTTTCGAGATTTTATTTGTCTTATAAAATGGTTTAAGTATTAAGTTGGTGATTATATCTACTGGGGTGACGATGTACGTACGGTAAAAATGGAAGTTTTTTATTTTCGGAAAAAGCACACATGACATATATTCCATTCCCGTCTATACTTGGACAAAGTTTTGAAATAAAACAAAAAGAAAGATTTGGTTTTTTGGTTGTACGTTGGTACAGAAATGACCACTTAGGTGGGAAAAAGTGTAAATTCTACGATGTCTACCAATATCACTGCACAATCCCCTTTTTATGCTGATTTCCTCAAGAAAATTTGGGTGAATAATTTCAATACTATTTGCAATTGGAAAATAAAGTATGCTTCACGCAATGAATATGATAACATACATTAAGAGTTAAAAATAATGTTCTTATTGTCTCAGATTTAAATTTAAACGTTGCATTTGTTACAATGCAGTTAAGATGGAATGAACAGCACATCAAGGGCGAGCGACCATATGGACGCTTCGGCAGTTCATTGGCCTGCCTGGGTGACCTCGACCACGACGGTTTCCAGGACGTGGCTGTTGGGGCACCCTACGAGGACGATGGACGAGGGGCCATCTATATATACAGTGGCAGTGGTGATCGCGAACTCTTCCTCAAGCCAAGCCAACGCATAGTCGCCAAAGATCTGTCTTTAGCACTATGGGGTTTTGGACATTCTCTGAGCGAACCGGCACGTGACGTCAATGGTGATGGCTACCCCGACCTGGCCGTGGGTAGTTTTATGTCCAGTCACGCAGTCCTCCTGCCCAGCAGGCCCATAATTAAGGTGACCGTCAACCTGCGACGCCTAGCAAATTCCAGCCTTTCATTTAACTCGACGCACTTGGCATTCGAGGCTTGTGCCAAATATAATGGTGCCTATGCCCCAGATACCTTTGGTAAGTATTTTTTTTTTCAATTTGGACTATGAATTTCACTGCAATCTTAGGGTGACATTTTTTTCACACAAGTGAGTCAAGTTGACTCGTACGCGGAGTTCAGTTCTATAAAATTCAACATTTGGTTACGCATTTAATTTCCATTGTTATGATAAGCTTTTTATGTATGGTTAGTATGGACTTAATACTACAACACACCATCAGAAACTTAACTTTTTAAATTATCCACTTTTATCAGACAAATTGATTAACTACCAATAATATCATCGCTAATGTAAGACTTTCTGATGCAGTTCATTTGTCTTTTAAGGTAGACAACGTAAGTAATTGTAAGTTGAGACTTTGCAGGATAAAAACTTTCTTCCCAAAAATAATTAATTGAGTAATCTTTTGAATATTACACTATTTAATTAAACTCTCGAGTAAAAGCTATTTGGGGAACGAAAATTATAAGAATCATTGTCGTATGGTTTTATCTGAGTAAAAAGTCCAATACATTTTGTCACCTGGGCAATATTGTCACAATATTAATTTACCTTGTATAGTTATCATATAAAACTGCAGGAAATTTTGGCAAAATTCAACATGAATTTTTGAATAAATTTGTATTAATAAAATGTATAGCTAAAATTTATTGTTATCTAATCTTACTGCCCTAATAACTCATGTGACACACATATTTGTACAAATAATAAACCTCGATTTTTAAAAGAACTGCTTGATGATTGTGGACATAAAAAATTTACAATTGGAAGGCCTTTTCTAATTTAAGAGACTCCTTAGGTCGAAAAATTAGATCACAGTTTTCGATTGTCAAAATTTAGCTGCTTGGCAACATAATTCATGAAAAACTGAATAATGATGAGACACCTTTTAATAGCAGGAAATCTTGAAAACTTGAAAATGATATTCCAGAGTTTTTAAAAGTTGTGACAAATAGCTGTTTAACAATGTTTTTTACCATTTTGAACAATAAAGATTTTATGAATCGTCATTGATTTATACCACCACCAACGCAATCATTTTCTTTTGCAGATGCAAATATTTCTACAATATTATTTGAAATTTTTTGGTATGGAGAAATACCACACACAAATTCGTATCAAAATGTATTGCGTGCCTTAAAGCCAGAAACGCAACACTGTGAAGAATTTTATATTCCACGAAACGTAAGTTCAAGATATTGTTTGCATACTTGCTTGTATAAGATGAAAATGTAATAGTCAGATAAAATTAATTTTTAGGGTTCTTTAAAAAATATTTTAAACATGGTACGAGTCAATGTGAATATAACTTGTGGACACGATGATTCCTCCCACAATAAGTGTCCTATGTTCCACACAGAGTCAAAAACAACCGATAGTATGCAAGCCTATGCTCGAGACTGTGGCTCTGACGAATTATGCATAACAGATTTGAAAGTAAATATTATGAGCAACAATTTGAGCCCCAACAACAGCTATACCATTGGCTCGGGAATAAACATATACCTCACTATACTCGTTGAAAATACCAATGAGCCAGCGTATCTGCCAGAGGCCCACATCTTCATTCCAGAGCCAATCACATTAGTCAAGAAACCTCCCAATTGTGAAACATCAGCCCGAACGAACGAGATGTTGAAAATAACTTGTCAACTTCAAAATCCGTTGCGTCAAGACGTAAGTGTAAAATAATTTGGCAAATTTTATCGTCATCACTGTTGTGAATAATTGAACGTACTCTTTTTTTTTTATGTGACCTATTTATTGTAACGTTCAAAAGTGTTTTTATTTTACGATATGATTTTATGCCCTGTTATCTTTTAGAATACAGATACTGTACTGGTTGAACTGAATATGGACGCAATACAGAGCACAGAAAGATTAAAAAAAATTGAAGTAACTGTTACTAGTCATAGTAAAGAAAAGTCCCTTGATGACAATTATCAGTCATTGATCATCAATTTTGCTGTTGACGCAGATCTCCAAATTATCGGGTACGTGAACCATGAGGAATCATAATGATTGTAATTATTATCAAAAATAAGCTTTTTAACGACAAATTCATTTTTACATTAAGAAAAGGTAACTGAAATGCTTAATTCAATCGTTAACAAGTAATGAATCAAATATACAACTTTTAGAAAATCACAAGGAAATCAATACTCGTATGTGGAAAATGAAGTGGACGAAAAAAATGTCAAGCATTTTAATTTCTATCACATTTATGAAATACTCGAACTAGGTATCACACCAACCCAAGAGGCTGTTCTTTTCGTTAGTGTTCCAGTGCGTTTGCAAGACTTCGACATTGCAAATATAAGCTACGATTCTAAATATGATTGCTCAATCATGACATCATCGGTGGAAGCACATGACTATTATGACGAGAAAGATAATTTTTTTATGAATTGCACGAATCCTGATGTTACCTGTCAAAATCTTCGTTGTGATTTTGGTTCTTATCTTAAAACTACTGCAACCGAATTTATCATATCCATAGACTTTCATATCTCAGAAGACATAGGTTTGTTCAGCTACTTAACTGTGACCTCTTCAAAGTAATTTTCTGTTAGATCAAACTTTAATAAACTACTTATCGTTTAAAGTTGTAGCAGCTCAATGGAAAAACATCACATACGTGAGCCAAGCGTACGTCGAAATTGTCACGCCTAGTATGGCAATGGAGGTGACGAACAAGACTAAGCATTTTAGCCAGGTATCGACAGAAATTTTCAGACGCCATTACAACATATCCATTTTGGTGATCGTTTTGTCGATATTATGTGGTATACTTCTGCTGGAGATAATAGGCTTTGTACTTTACAAATTTGGATTTTTCAAACGTAATCGAAGAAAGGATACGCAAACCTCAAATCCGATGAGTGAAGTAAGTGTATGTAGCTGATTAAAAAGGCTGTCTAATTCGATCGAAATTTAATAACATCAATAACATTTTTTTCTTGTAGCAACAGGAAAACAAAGGAGAGCTAGAACCTTCGACATCAAAAATGTAAATAATAGATTTTTACTAAATGTATAAGGATGAGCGAAAAACTCTGTACATTATTTTATTAGCAAATCAATTTTTAAGATGATATTTTTGATTACAATTAAGATTTTGATTAAATAATTTTAAACAAACTTTAGAGTATTGTATTTATTACGTAATGCAATTAGGAAGTGATATAAGCCTCTAAGAAAAATATTTAAAAGTAGTATAAAAAATACAGTTAGTATTTACACAGCAAATACTGTGCACGCAAGTATACACTAAACTAAAATAATTTTTTACAAGAATTATACATTGAGGGTTCTAGATTCTTATTTTATTAATTTGTAGGGATAAATATTTAAAAAAAGGGAGGTACATTTATTTTTTATTTAAATTAGAGTTTATTAGTAGCACGACGTTACTCCTAACTAAGAAATAAATCAGAATTATTTTACCTAGGCTTCACTTTGGGTGATTAATTTTATAAATACAGGATAAGATTTATTAGAAAAATTATGTCAAGTACTCAAAATAAGAACATTGTTAAAGTTGAGGGTACACGATGATAAAGGTGTTATCACAAATAATTTGAGAATAACATTTATTTTACAAAAGCATTTATTTATAAAAAAATAGTATTTTATGTACACGTATCTTACAAAGTTAAGTAAACTTTTTAACAAAAGTTTTTACAAATCAACGTTGCCTTTGATACGAAGTTTAGAACGGATGGTAAATATGTTCGTCACGTCTCCGTGATTGAGACAGTAATTGTATAATTTCATGAAGTAAGTCACAGCATTGGATCCACTATTACTTAATATTTTGCATATGTTGCTTAAATTAATGACTTTTTCTTCGACAACCTTCAAATAAAGCGTTTTCTCATCTTTGTCATCGAACCAAACATCAAACAAATCCTTGAAAGTCGCTGGGGCGCTAGATTTAGCCCCTTGCAAAACGTGACATATTTCAATTAAAGGAACATCATTTTCATTGATTATCCTTAGGTAACGGGTCTTGTACCCGTCGTTGTCGAACCAAAGTTCGCACAACTTTTTAAATGCATTTGGAGTTTGGGAGCCAGATTTACTCAAGATTTTCGCCATGTCGGATAAATTCACTCCGTCGTTGGACAGCGATTTCAAGTACAATTTTTTATTGTTGAACTTACCAAACCAAAGATCGTATAGTTCTTCAAAAATGTTTAATGTACTTGATTTTGTTTTTTTTAAAAAATCAAATATCGTTGACAAACTAATATCGTACTTTTCAAACGTCAGTAGGTAATCTGATTTATTTCCTTTTTCATCGAAAAAAAGTTTTAGCACACTTTGGAAAATGTCTAAATTTTGTTCTGTTTTATTGAAAAAATCATAAATACTACTTCTACTCATCCCATACTTTTCTATAGCTTTCAAATATTCTGTTTTATTTCCTTCGTCATCAAAGCACAAATTGTATAAAATCAAGAAGTCTTTAACAATATTTTGTCGGCTCTTTTTTAAAAACTTTGATATTTCAAGTATATTTATATTATTATCAAAGAGAGTTTTTAAATAAATAGTTGTATGCCCCTCTTCGTCAAACCAGAGACTAAATAAACTTTTTAAATTTTCCGCAACATTTGCACCCTTATAACTAAATATAATAGCAATACTCGATATTTGTAGTCCATGTTTTTCAAACGTTTGCAAGTAAAATGATTTATTTTCGTTCTCGTCGAAGAAAAAATCGTACAAATCTTTATACGACACGGCTGTGTTTGGCGATGGTCTGAACATATTACAAAATTTATTAAAGCTTATTCCATATTTCCGTAAAGTATTCAAATATTTCGTAGGATTACCTTGTTCGTCAAACAAAAAGTCGTAAAAATCTGTCAGGTTATTAAAAGATTTCATACTAGTTGACATCGTTAAACTTAAAAATAGACTTACTTTAATACCTGCATCTTTTAATGTTTCAAACCGTGTCTTTTCGTTATCGTTATCTGTCTTCAATTTATAAAATAAAAATTTTTGCAGTTTTTCAATAATACCTGTATCTTTTTTGATTGAATATGTTGCAATTTTTAGTAGGATTTTTAAATCAACTCCGGACTCTTCGAGCATTTTTAAATCTTTATTTTTATTACCATTTTGGTCGAAAAACGTTGTACACAGCTTAACGATTATTTCAGAAGAATGCAACATTTTTCCATGCACAAGTTTTAAAAGCTTAGCTAGTGGGAATCCATTTTTTTCAAAAATTTGTAAGTAATGAGACTTATTTCCTTGTCCATCAAATAAAACACTGTATAACTCTTCAAAGGTTTTCGGAGCTTTACTGCCGGATTTTGCTAAAACTTTTGATAAAATGGAAAAATCTATTCCGTTGTCTTCGAATGTTTTCAGACAAGCCGTTTTATTTCCCACTTCGTCGAATAAAAGGTAAAATAATTCTTTGAATGTTTTGGCCGCGTAACTTTTAGTATCATGTAATATTACCGATACTTGTTGCAATTGTATATTGTGCGCATCCAAAGTCTTCAAATAATGTGTCTTATTCCCTTCCTCGTCCAAAAACAGTTCATACAATTTTTTAAAATTCTCAGCAGCAAATGCGCCAGATGCAAATAACATATTACACACAACAGACATATTTATTCCATTTTTTTGCAACATCTTCACGTATCGAGATTTATTTCCCATCTCATTGATCCACACGTTGTACAATTCTTCATAAGATTTCGCACTATTTTTCCCGGAAGATCTCAGGAGATAAACAAAATATTTAAAATTAATCCCGCACAAGACATTCAAGTACTTTGTTTTGCATCCATCTTCGTCAAACCACAAGTTGTACAGTGCTTTGAAACTTGCAGCTGCTTGTGCTCCTGATCTGTGAATGATGTCAATTACAGAGCTTAAATTAACTTGATTCGCTTCCAAAGATTTTAAATATTGAGTTTTATTTCCGTCGTTGTCGAACCAAAGGTTGTATAAGTCTAAGAAAGTTTGCTTGGCTTTGTGTCGACTGTGGCTTGTGATACGGGCCATGGCACTTAATGTTATCCCTTCTTTTTCCAATTTTTGTACGATTGCCGATTTATTTCCGTACTCATCGAACCATAACTCAAATAAGCTTGTAAAAGTATTTTTTAAATTTATCCTGCATCCACTTATAATGGGTGAAATAGTATTGAGTTTGATTTTGTTTATTTGCAATGTTCGCAAATAAAAAGAAGCATCTCCATTTTTGTCAAACAAAAGCTCATACAGATCACTAAAACCACTTTTTCCAGTTGCTTGCAGCATACTACTAACATGACTCAACTTTATTCCATGCGATTCAAAAGATGTTAGTAGTTGTGTTTTGTTGCCAGTTTCATCAAACCAAAGATTATACAAACCTATGAACCCATCTCTCATACGACAAAGTGTAACACGAGTCAAAATACTACTGAAATTTGTCAAGTCTATTTTATGTTTCAGTAAAGTTATCAAATATTTTGTTTTGTTGCCTTCCTCATCAAACAGCAGATAATACAATTCTTTGAAATATTTTACACATTTAGTACCTGCTCCAGTCAAAACAGGAGTAAAAATGCCGATGTTTATTTTTTCATCTGCTAAGGTTTTTAAGTACTTCGTAGCGTTTCCGTTTTTGTCGAACAAAAAATCATAAAAATCGGTTAGCGCAAACGCTATGTTTGATCTGGACTTTTTCAACATACTGCTTAAATTATGTAAGCTTATTGAATGTTTTTCAAACGTCTGTAAAAAATTAGATTTATTACCTTCAACATCAAAACACGTATCGTGTAAGCACTTCAAAGCTATCACAGCACTTGTACCTGAGAATTGTAACATGTTTGATACAGTACTTAACTTAATCCCGTTGTTTCTGAAAGTATCAAGATAATATTTTCCTTCATCAAAAGTTATATATTTGAGAAATTTGTTGTACGAATATTCTTCTCTTTGTTTACTATTTGAGACTACTGAGGCTACTGTATTACTGAATTTCATCAACTCTTCAATATTTTGATACTTATCAATTTGGCACGTATATCTGTTATATTTAATGTCATCAAGAATTTTAAGCATATTACTTCTAGTAATTGACCCAAATTGGTAGGACTCTAGCCATCGTAATATTATCTCCTGTAATTCTTCATAATTATAAGGAACTTCAGATTCACTAACACTTTTTTTGACCATCTCGGACAAGTTTCTGTTTGAAAATTGGTCACTAGCAATTGTTAGACAGTTTAAAAATTTCTCTTTAATACTTTCATTATCAAGGCCACTTTTTTTTAAAGCTGGAGTGCATTTTAATAAGTCAATTAGTTTCATGTTGTCTCTTGGTCCGAATCGGTAAAGGTTATCCACCGAAAAAGATGAAAAATATTTTAAAACCTTGTAGTTTTTTAGATCATCTATTTTTTCCAATTCAAAAGGATTAAGACTTGTTGTTTTATCAATTTCCACTTTGTTTCTTTGATTAATATCAAAGTTTTGGTCTGTATATGCAATAAAAGATTTTACTTTTACCTTACTTTTTTCTCTCATTTCTGCAGCAAAAATGTTAAAAAGTTTGTTAACGTCGGACTCAGTCTTGTTTCGTTTACTAGGAAAGAAGTCTTTAGTGCTATAAAAGGCAAGAGTTTTTACATAAGTTATTTCATCCTTTTGACAAATAGCAATAACACTAGATTCACAATTGCTTTGGTAATTTACAAAAGATATCTTTTCATGCAGAAACATATCATGTACAACAGACACGAGTAAATTAAAATCGTAGAGAAGTTTGCACTCAAATTTTCTTATGTTAATGGAGCTGCTTAAAATATCACCTTGCAATTTCAGATAACTTCTTTGCACCTTTAGTATTTCTGTATTAAGTGCACTTTTCAACTTCTCCCTAGTCGGCTGGGCAACTATGAGCAAAAATTTTTTCATAAACGACTTTTTTACTTTGTATACAAAACTTTCTGGAAAGTTGTTCTCTTCGATGACTTTTTGCATTGCTGATGTCAATTTAAGATAATTTAGAAATTCACTTTTTACCCTTTTCTTTTTTGAAAATTTGTAAAATCCATAATTTTTTTCACAGTCAGTTATTTCAAATAAATCTTTTAAAAAATTATTTTTTTCTATAATATTATTTAATTCAACCAAAGATGATGCAATGCTAGTATTTTGTTCCAAAGTACCATTTGCAGTAAGATCCAACTCAAGATTAGTATATATTACCAAGTGCTTAAGATCATCTGACGAGTTATTCTCAGCCTTTGCAATCAAATATCGAACAAAACTATTAAAGTACTGATTAATGGAAAAAATTGTATCTTTTGGGGAAAATAAGTGCACGTAACTGATTTTTTTGTTTCTAAAGTAATCATCTACATATAAAATTTTTATGAAAACAGATCCATCATCATATTGTATGGCAATATCATTAAATTTATCAATTAAGTTATGGTTGTACAATACTGACAACGAAGGATATTTATCTTTGTAAATAAGTTTTCTAATCGAACACAATGTTGCCACATCCAATTTGTACATTAGTTCGATTAAGTGATTAGAAAAATGTTCTGTATATTTTTTGATCAAACGAGAATCGTATTTTGAGTCACCTGTCAGTCCGTTTTGTGAGTTATCAGTGTAAGACTTAGCTCCTGATTTTAATGATGGTGATGATACCGTACCAACAGCCAAGTCACTACATTGTATTGATAAATGTTGAAGAGATTGATCTGGCAACTTGCGCAATTTTTTTGGTAAATCTCTTCGATCGCCATCCAAATGTTTTCTTTTTTTACTTGACTTCATGGTCAATCAACAAATGTTGACAACTTGACGGTATGTTGCTTCGCAAATGAATAAGATTGGGTCACCCATCTCAGTTTTTTCAATTAAACGGGAGTGAGAAAACTGCAAATATACAAAAATTGATCAAATTATAAATAGGTACCAAGAAAAAATATATTTAAAAAATAACTCCTAAACTCACGTTAACCTCTTCCATTTAAGTTTTATCGGTAACATTTCGAGATCACACAAATAAATGTGGTATCCCATCATCTACTACTTGACAATGATTTAGTACCTACATACATGCACCAGCAAGCACAGAGAATTTCTCTCGAGAATGTACATAATTGTTATTCACTATTTCACCGGTATATCTACGTCTAGGTCTACGGTTCAGTTTTCGAAGTTGACAAGAACAATACAAATACAATAACAACAGAGAATATAGAATATACTCTTCATATTCTATATTCTTTAATAACAACGCGTACATACATAAATACAAGCAAGGATCTATTTGCATTAATGAAACTATTAATAATACAAACTTTTACTACTACTACAACGAGGACAAATATACCTAAGAATAGGTATAAGTATGATACATATATTATGAGATGCTTTGTCCTAAAACTGATGGTGCACTGCATGTCACTGAACGCCGCTACTGATGCGAGTTTTGATTTTATTTAATGAATCCTATATACTTAAGTACATACTGCAGTATAAGTGTAGTAAAATAGTTAATATAAAAACTGACCAAGAGCTTGTTTTTCAGTTCACACATAAGCTTGCGTGATATTTTGCGATTGGATGTAATGGAATTTTTAAAGACAATAATACTTACAATTAAATGTAAAAATAAAAATAAGAATTATACAGTAATGTAATATTAATGAACATGTTGAGATTTTATAGGTCTATACATAATTAATACATAAGTATGAATAAACAATTGTAAACATTAAACAAACATTATCCAATTGTAATTAATTTACTAAACTCCATAACTTTATTTGTAAAAAATTAAAATTTAAACAAAATGCCATGAAGGTAGTGCTGTAATACATACTCTGAATGGGACGTACAAACCTAATATTATTTATCAAGTTTCAAGTTTAAGTAGGCTTTCAATGTTTGTATTGGCTAATTGGGCCTCTGTATAACTATATATTAATTTTCAATTTTTAATGTACTAGCGCCATCTAGTGTTTCGGATTTCGAGGACTGACGCAAACTATTTTCTAGGGGAACCGTCTTGGAAAAGTCCCTAGATTCTAGGGATTTCCGACAGAAGTAAATCCCTAGATGTATATAAATATACTACAGTAGGTCGAAAATCGCAGACGTGAAGGGTTTATATATTTGCGTGCTTCGAAATAAGCAATAAGTACGGCTCGAGATTGATGGTCAGATGCATGAACTTAAGTATTAAAAATACTTGAATTCGCCAAAAGTGTAACAATTGTCACCCACGCATGCCTCGCGTTGGTGTATTTATACATTTTATTTATACAATATCTATACTTTTGGAGGTAGATTTTCGGATAAAAGATAAATTATACACTTGCCGCAAATAGCACAAACAATGTCAACATTGTATTTTCTACCTGCTGTTTTAACTATGGCCAGATTACGGAATTCGGAATAGAGCGCCAGTTTAATTCAAGGTAGTTGACTTACTGACTTGACGGTAACGTAGAGCGCAACCTTAAATTACTTGCTGGTGACGAATATTGAATGATTGAATCCCGCCGCCCAACGGCCCAACCCAACCCCAACGCTGCTTGTCAAGCAGTGCTTGAGAATTCTAGGTTCTAGGTTCTAGGATTTCTATAGGGCCACTTTTTAGTTTAATAATCCGCAACGCTAGATGGCACTGATCCAAATAATTATCACTATACTTATATAGTAAAGTCATGTAATCAATTATAAACCAGCCGCAACTATATCTTGTGGATAGAAAATATAATGTTGCCATTATTGATGCTGTTTACGGCAAGTGTACAATTTATCTTTTACCCGAAAATCTACCTCCAAAAGTATAGATATTGTATAATTAAAATGTATAAATACACCAATGCGAGGCATGCGTGGGTGACAATTGTTACATAATTTTAGTACTTTTAGTATGCATTTAGTATGCATGTGACCGTCAATCTTGAGCCATTATACTTATTGCGTATTTCGAAGCACGCAAATATCTAGACCCTTCACCGCCTTCACGTATGCAATGATTGATCTACTATAGTATATCTATATATATATCTAGTGATTTACTTCTGCCAGAAATCCCTAGAATATAGGGGCTTTTTCAAGACGGTTCCCCTAGAGAATAGTTTGCGTCAGTCCGCGAAATCCGAAACGCTAGATGGCGCTGACACTGTGATCTTCGAATATGTCCAATGCCAAATGATAATGACGTATATAATAAAAACAATGAAACAATTAAACAATATATTAACAAGGGGAGGAAAGGAACGGATAGCGAAGCGGATAGCAAAGAGCAAGCCGGTGTGAGTCACTAGTCACTACATTAGTGACAGTAGTGACTGCGTGACAGTATACTTAGTAGCTATAGCTGAAAACCTGTCTAAAAGATATCTTTCTTGGCTTGTTGTTTTCCAGTCAGCATACATACTTAATCCTCAAAATGTCGGAGCTTATCGGTGACTTTTAGACACTTCACATTTGTACATAACTTTAGTTTTTATCGCACTTTCTAATATTTATAACATGGCTTTCAACCTTTTACGTGTTTATGATTCGTTCATGAAACCGTTGAAACACACTCTACAAGTCACAAAGAGTAAGTTTAACCCTACACAAATAATTTCTAAAATTATCACACTTGAATAACCCTAAGTCAGGACAAAATTTTACTTAAATTACATTTTTTCATTTTAGTTCTCGTTAACAATGCTGGCAGTAAAAATCTTCCTGTTCTCAAACCTGTGCTTCCTTTGGCATGTCAAGTGCGATTGACCTCTTTCTTCACCAGAAGTAAGTTTACAATAACTTTGTTCATATTACTTCTACTTAAAGGTATTTCAACAGCACAAAAATTGTTGGCATGGAATTAACTATTCCCAGGAGCGGCTGAGACACTATGGAAATCAGTAACGAGCGTTAGTAATGCTGGTCGTAACAGAGGTCGAGGAAGAGGTTTGGCAAGGAAGATCAAGGATCTGAACAGAGGACAATACATTGGAATGGGAAAAATAAACATGCAGTGGCCAGGTTTGACTGCACCAATAATGAGAGGATCGACAGTTCTCAAGCAGCAAAGGTTGCCCGATGATCCTGAAAGAGAAGCAAAGATCATCAAGATGAGAGACATTGCTAGAACTAAAGGATCGCGACGAGTACATCCTTTAGAAAGAGGTTGGACGAGTGCAAAAATGGGAGGCAAAAAAATTGGTCCACCAGATCCGGTCAATGATGGTAAATGAGCATGATAACTGTAGCATTCATTCGATGACCAAGTACAACTAGCAAATGTACAAAGTCTCCGGTATATCTTGTTTTGCTTCTTCCAAATGATGGTTTTGGAAGTCGGTAGAATTTTTAAAGATATGATTACTTGATAAGAGTAATATAAGTAGCTCTAAATTTTATGTAGTCGCTGATGCACAAAAAAAAGACAAGTTTTTAATTTTATCTATCATTACAGAGCCATTTGAGGGATTTGATACATACGTATTGGAACACAAGATTGTAAATCACATGACAGGAAACTTGGGTCGAAAGAGAAGTTTCAGTTCATTTGTAGTTACTGGCAATTTCGATGGATTGGTTGGCTTTGGCTTAGGTAAATCATCTGAAGGGAAAACTGCCTTAAGAATAGCCAAAAATCGAGCTGGACAAAAGTTGATGTTTGTTCCCCGTTACAATAACCATACAGGTAAGTAAAAACAATCACCTCTATGTTTTGATCACACTGTTTGTTAGTTGATAATATTCTTAATTTACAGTTTATCATGATTTCTTTTCACAATTTGGATCCACAAAGTTATTTGTTTCAAAAAAACCTGAAGGATTTGGCTTGAGATGTCATAGAGCCTTGGTATGTGCATGCCAAATCATGGGAATTAAAGATTTGCGGGTAAAAATAGAAGGAGCCATCAATTATCAGCACATTATTAAGGCTTTTTTAATTGGACTTTTGAAACAGGTATTTGTTGAATAAATAGCTACCAATCAGAGTTAGATTGAAAAAAAATCATACAATCAATATTTTAATAACTATTAGATTATTATATTATTATTATACAATTATCATACTATTGTTACACAATTATCATATTATTATCATACAATTATCATATTATTATTTTAATATAACTATTTTAGAAAACACACGCAGAGTTAGCGGAGGAAAAAAAGTTGCACTTGGTTGAAATGCGACCAGAAAACTGGAATTATCCAAAAGTAGTAGCATCACCATCGGTCGTTAGGAAGCCAGAAGAAATTAGGTCAACCGAAGTGATGGATTTCACACAGTACGTTTTAGGTGGCAAAGTCGTTTTGCAAAAGATAAAACCTTCTCCGTTCTACATTGAATTTCCATCTCATAAAATAAGACTGAGAAAGTATGAGCGCCAAAGAAATCAAAATCAAGTGAGGATTAGAATGTTGGCAGAGCACGGCGAAATTCGCAGTTTTTTGACCGACAAATATCCAGAAGCCAGACCACAACTGTGGACTAAAAAAATGAAAGAACAGTCTGAACAAGCCGATTAATATAATATTATGTATATGTTCATGGTTATTGTAAATTAAACATTTTTATTACCTCACTTTTGTGTTGAAACAAAACATTTCTTTATTTGATTTATGAAAAACGTGTTACCCGATTTTTTCTGCCAAACTCTTTTTACAGTCATTAATTTTTCTAGTAGCATTACGCTACGTCTCAAAAAATGCTTCAATATTTGTTACTTTATTTCAATATCTTCGTTTTTATTGCGTCACATCCTTATACACTTACACCGTTTGCATTTCGCGCCCTAGTTATAAGGTTAGTTTACAATAACTTTCATTGATACAATGCGCCACATGAAAAATATAAAACAAAATAATTAAGTACCTACGTTGGTTCATATACGTATAAAACTTTGTTAAAAATACAACATGACTAATCAGGCCCATATATTCAAAATACTTATTGTTAAATTTATGAATAAGGAAAAAAAAATGTTAAATGTTGAACAACAGTGACATAAGCCTTAATATCGCACTATAGCCACTAAATAATGTCACACAATATGGCATTCAAACATGATCTAAATGATTATCCGCAAATATAAAATTCATCCTAAATTTATGTTGTTTGGCCGTATGTTCCAGTAGCGCTCTCCGACAACTCACCGACAACTTAAACATGACGCAAGATATCGTAAGACATAATTAAGTTGTCGGTAAGTTGTCGGAGAGCGTTACTGGAACACACCCTGGATTTCTTGGAAAAGTAAAAAAACATCTGAAGGTCCGAGTGGTCCGACGACCTCTCACGGTTCTCACCTCATTCTCAATTCTTAAGTTGCATAAGTATTTATGTACTTGCAGACTTGCACACATTTCAAGTGCAGTCAAGCTTCAACCGTCAACTAATAGGTACGCGATGTTAGCTGGACTATAGTGGACTGGACAATGCCGATGTCATGACGGACCGGATCACACGAGCGCGCGTGTATATAAGCGTATTAACGCGCGCATCACGCTATCACTGCATATAGGTGAGGAAAAAGCGAAAAAGTGAGGAACTCTGAGTCTGAGCTGAGCCTTGCCTTAGCCTCTCTGAGAACAGGTCAGTCAGTCACACACAGTTTACCCCAGTGAAGAGTATAAGAGGCTCCAAAGAGAGATTGTTTGCTGCTACCGTTGAGACAATTGAGAATCACGAGATAGTGGTGGCTGGTCCTCTCCTGGGTCCTTGTTGGCCGCCTGGGCTGTGTGTGTGTGGGGGGTGTGCGTGTGCGAACAAGAGTGTGAAATCTGTAAATGCAATTGTAGAAAAAAAAAGAAAAGCTTGTATTGGTTTATAACTAAGTGGTGGATGAAGACAAAAAAAAAAAGAGAGTGCAGTGGTTGTAGCAGTGTTTGTACAGCAGCAAGTTGATTTGACACTATAGCCAAACCAAAAGTGAGAGAGAGCCGAGGGCGAGGTTATAACACAGCAATAGCAGCAGCATACAAAGCACAGCAACGACAACGACGACGAAGACGGTGACACGACGGAGGTGGTGGCCCATAGGAATAGACACGCGGCCGGCAGCTGCAGAGTTAGCTGCTGCCGCAGCAGCGCAGCGCACCGCTTAAAATGGCCGATGACGATCCGGGGCTGCTCAAGGAGGACGGCTTCCTGAACGTCGGCGCCGAGTGCAAGCAGATTGTCTATCACCCGAATCTCAACGTCCTCCTCGTAACAACCGCCAGTGGCCAGGTGCATGTCTACGACGTCAATTGCGGTGGTGCCCTCCAGACTTGCGCCCTCTCTGGTAAATTCCTCTTTTCTTTTCTAGTTGTCCCTTGTCTCTCGTAGTTTATTCTGTTGTTATTGTTGTTTCTGCGTCTAGCTCAGCAGGTTTCTCTTCGTGTCACATATCAATGATGGTCAACCTTTTTTTCGCAACTTGCTAAATTCCACGCCCCTCCGTGTCCCCACGCACACGCGATTCTGTCAAGGTCGCCTCGTTGTTGTTATCCCTTCCAGGTCAGGTCGAAACTCTCTCGAGAGCACAAAACACAACAAAGCAGAGTGTTATTCGCATCTTTCACGTTTTTTGGGGGGTCTTCCGCTCTCCTTCCCATTTATTTATGCCGTTGACACCCCTCCAAAGGTGCACAACAACCGCGTGTCGTTTTTCTCGTGTGGATGCTGCACGCGAGAAAGGGCGGGTTGTTAGTTGAGTGCACTCATGCTACTGCATGTACAACGTTTGCGTCACGCAGGCCGCTCGCGAATCTCGTTGCGTGTCATTCTTTTGTATTCCCAAAAACGGTGGTGTCTTTTTGATTATGACAATCGTTGCATTGTTTTTATGACGATTTGGTACCTTTGAGGGTTTTTACATCACACAGCGTGTTCGCATAAAATGTAAACATACACACGCTGTCCAAAAGTGTGTCATATGTTCATATACAAAGGCGCAACGTTCGTTACTCGTTTTTAAATACTTGACATTACTTACTTGCCTTTTTTTTCTCGCTGGCTAATGCTTAGGCATGCGCTAATAGTGGTGATGTCAATGCATTTCATATCCAGCTGGTACCTGTCTAAGCTTCTCTGTTTTTTCTCTAGCTTGTACTTATATGCAATTGTTGGTATAATAACACATATTCAAGGCTATTACGCAGTCATGACAAAAGATGCATGCTCCTGGGAGAGGGGGGGGTTAAAATCAATTAAAATCAAGTTGCACCATGCTAAGAGTGACTTGACCGATTCAGATGTCTACTAACGATTCATGCCTCCTTGTATTATGGAAAAGTTCACGAAGTTTATAGATAAATTGTTTTCATAGTTTTGTTAATTGAATTGTAGACTTGAATAACAAAACGAGATCATTAACTATTGTTATGAGGATGTTTGATCAAATACTGTGTCACAAAATGGTTTTGTCCGATAAAGAAGGGGTTATTGAAACTAATAATCAAACTTGCTCTTGCTTTATTTGTTAATTTCTTTGTAAAAGCAATCAGTGGTGTTCCTTCATTTACTGATATCAATTTCCAGGTAAATTAGATGGTAAATTGCAAGGTGTTTATCTTGGAGAGGAAGTAGATAAAATATTGTACACAGATGGCAAGAGCATTGGCGTTAGAAGCGATTACAATGGAGTTTTGCTTTTGGATACCATCCTCCAGATGCCTGTCTTCAGAAGCGAAGACACGATTAAATTGGAAATGTTGTTATCGGAAGCCATACTGTTGCAGCATTGTCTGAAATCAGTTGAGCTCCAGGGAGTCGATCATGTAACAGAAGTACAACAGGAATTGACTAATACCATTAATGCGGCCAAACAAAAGAAACTGAAAGGAGTTAAAGCTCAGAAAGTAAATATACGTTATTTAGTACTACTCCATCAATTGTAGGATTATTTTTCACTTTTTAACGAGTGATTATGCATGAATTCTAGCTATAAATATTTCAATTATGCATTATTAAAGCATAGCAATTCGAAAAATTATTGTAAGTTAACACGACCATATTTTTTTCAGTGGAATACGATATGTTTAGAATTACCACATGCAGCTCTAAAGCTTGTTTGTTCAAATTTAGTATTGGATTTGAAAAAGCAGAACAAACATATACCTGCATTACCTATAGCTTCTACAATCAGCGAACGACTTAATGGCCTACTCCCTGGTCTTGTTATAGAGGCTGGAAGCACTGACAAAGTTTTAATGTTTAGCGAGGCAGCTCGCCGAGATACGTTTTCCAAATGGCCCCACATGAATTATAAGTAAGTATTGAACTTTAATCATTACAAAAATCGTCCATGTTTGAGAGATCAAATCTTGCTCTATTACCGTATAAGTTTTAAATCAGTGAAAATAAACAAATCAAGCAAATATATTTAGTTAACGAGTGAAAATCTTCAATCGTTTAAACGAACAATTCAATTGTACTCTTTGTAGATGGGCGTTACCCAACCAAATGGCTCAGGCCGGCTTCTATCATCAGCCAAATTCGACAGGCGAAGATCGTGCGATGTGTTTCACGTGCAGTGTCTGCCTCGTATGTTGGGAACCAACGGATGAACCTTGGTCTGAACACGAGAGGCATTCACCAACCTGCCCGTTCGTCAAAGGCGAGTATACGCAAAATGTGCCGCTCTCGGTTACCCTAGCCACGGCACCTGCTCAATCTGTTGGCGAACCCATCGATGTAATTGGTGCGACAAATATCTCTGGTCTCGCGGCCGTTGCTTCGCAAACTGGTTTCGTCAGTGTTTTGAACGTTGCCAACCAATTGAAGGTACGTTATTGCTTTGTCTCCTCATCCAAAACCGTGTGAGGTTTTTTTCTTACCATATGATAGCTTCCGTCGTTTTTGACGTGAAATGCAAAACCGCAAATTATGCGACCACTTTGTTTATTGCAGAAAGAAGTGTCCTTCTACATAAACACGTGCATTGCGGACAACAACAAGGACGTTTTCTCGTTCGCTGCTTCGAAGACAGCTTTTTCCTCCACTTCGACCTACCTGCCGAGTCTCACGTCAGAGGCGGATGGACTGACCGACGTGTACAAGCCTACCTCAGGGATGCACAGTGCCGGCAAGCTCCAAACCACAGCGGTGGCCCTCATTGATGGACCCAAGAATCGAAGTGAGAGCACAGCGAACGCTAGTGTCGTCGTGCGAAGCAGCAGTAGCAGTTCTTCCGCTTCCCAAGATACAGTCAGTTTAGGTTCAACGAGGCCCTGCTTGGCTTGCGGCGTCACCGTTAGTCCAGGCTCCGGAATTATCAACCCGAGTCCATCTGCACCCTCTACGCAGTCGTTGCATGGCCTCGAAAACGTGTGGACGGCATCGTCGGACTTGGCATCCGCGTCGCCGCTCGTGCGAGCGATGAACAGCGCAAACAGTGCAGCAAGCAGCAGCAACAGCCTTGATATCATGAAAGTGGCTACGACGGTCGATGCCTACTGTGACCCAGCCGCAACCAACACGACCAGGCAGGCGCACTATCTTGTGCTCTTTGATTTCCACCATAAGACCGCACAGCCGCAACCGAACAAGAAGGACAGTACAAAGGATAATAGTAAGAGCAAAAAGCAGTTGTCGGGTACTGGCACCAGTGCGAGCTCGAACGGCATCAGACAAGAGAATCCATACCAGGAGATGCTGCTCAGCAAGTTTCTGCTCGAAGAGATCAACGAGGACGTGGACTCGGAGATGGTCGGCGCCACGCATTTTGACAGCGTGTATGGCGCGTCGCCTGTCATTCTAACGGCTGCACCCACGGGCAATGGTATTTATTATGGCATAAATGCGTCCACGCCAACCTCGAGTACCTTTGATTCGAATTCGAATCCAATTTACCCGTATGTGTCCGAGCCGTACGCTTCCACGTCAAAGATGACTCAGCTCAGAAAGACGCTAGACACAATCAAGACGGCCAAGGCAGAGCCCGTTGTCGTGCAAACTTTGCTAGTCGAAGCCGAGGATTCACTGACCATTACCAATATTGTCCCGACAAAGGACGGAAAGCATGTGTTTGTGGTTCTTTGTCCACCTATCGGCAACTTGAGTATCACCGATTCTTTCTCGAACACGAACCAAATGGATGTGGACGACGACTGTGAGTTTTGTTCCTTGTTGGATTTGTTTGAATTTTTTTTTTTTCTTGCACGAATTACTAATAAAATTGTCCTTTTACTGTTCTAGCATTATCGAAGAACAGCTACATGTACTGGGATCAGTCCAAGCCGCTGATTAACGGCGAGACACCTAACGATGCCGTTTTCAATCCAAACGCCGTTCTAATCGTGTACGCGCTGGATTTCACTGGCAAGGTGGTGAAGTTAAAGCCAGAGCCGATTCTCAAACGCGAGTTGCCTCCTGATCAAGCGCCCATTGGTGAATGCGTTTTGTTGCCGATTCACGAGAAAAGCAAACTTTCCGATGGCATGGGCTCAACGAGTAACCTTGTTGTACCCCAAGGACAAGTGGCCTTAGTTTGTAGAGACGGTGTTGTCAGGCTGCTGGAGCTCAATAGTCTCAAAACTGTTCGAGAAGCCAAGCTCCACGGTAAAAAATTCATCTCAGCTGCGTACTGTAACCGAATGGAAAGGTTGTGTGCCTGCACCAATGAGGGAGCGCTTCATTTCTTCATCATGACGACGGAGGATGATTCTACAGAAGAGAAGGATGTAGATGCTCAAATGATCACTGATGCCATTTGCGATGAGAGCGAACTAGCAGCTCCCAGCACGTCGACGTCCCCACCTGTGAATCAAGAGCAAATATTGGCGTACAAACAAAACCTTGGTTACTCAGATTTGCGGATCCTGTACGATTTGACAAGATTTGACAGACACTCGCCGGCCTACTGTGCTGTCGTGCCACCTTGTTGGAGCGAAATGATGCAAGCTCAGCGTCAGCGTCGCTATCCTCAGCATCTCCATCAGTGTGAAGATCAGCACCATACGCGCACCTGGCGACTCCAAAATGACGCGACCACGTATGACGAGCATGTCTTCGAACTCACGCTGCCACGAAACGTCGCAGGAAACGTAGGTCACGTTGATGTGAGATTTAGCTTGCACTTCCCGTGCCTCGAGGTTCCAAACATACAGGTTACGCTTTTAAAACAGAATATGACGGGAATCGGTAAAAAGTCGCTTACGATCCCGGTAGATGAAAAAATAGAATTTAGGATGAATCGTGACCAGAAAAACGAGAATCCCGTCATAACTGAGGAATATCAGAGGCAACATAGTGCGGAAGTTTTGTGTGGCCCCATCAGTTTGCAGCGAAATATAGATCTGTCGGATCACTCGGGCTGCGTGACTCTTACTAGCCCCAAGCTGTTTCGAACTAAGGCCAAAACTCTTTTGGTTCACCTTAAGGCTTTGTCAAACGAATCTGCAAGAGAAGGGGTAAGTTTTACGATTTTTTACTTGTATAGTTATCCTTATTATCGTTAAGTAAATTATTATTCCTTTTTTTTTTTTTGTTATATCACACATTAACTTTTATTTCAGTCATCAAAATCTAAAGCCAACGCAGAATCTAAACCCTCGACTTCAAAAAAACTGAGGATAGACGAAGCTGGTCCACTTCCTCCTGGTGCTACATTAGAAAGACTTGCTACAAACGCAGCCAAAAAAATTGATTGTTACAATGGTACGCTTCGTCATTCCGATTTAAGTGTTAATTAATACATTCATTGTAATTTGATCGAATTTTTTTGTTCAAGGTTGCGATTGGATCCATGAAATTTCGATTACCGTGAGGTCTGTGCACCCGACAGCTATTCCAAATGATAAATTGCAAAGGTGTGCAATGCTCGAATCGACGGCTTTCATGGAAAATTTATTGAGTATAGCCTGCTTAGAGTCTTCAAATAAGTAAATATACGTTTTCTCATTTACATATACTACTAGAATTATCAACGGTGCTGGATTAAAAGAAAAATGTTTCGATAGGTCACCTGTGATTCAGTCTCTAGCTTTGGATATTTTAATTTGGGTAGCTGCAATACGATTGACAAGATTACGAAGTGTACTCAACTGCAAAAAAACAAAAGCAATGCAAGTAGAGACTGTTCGTTGCATACAAGAAAAATTAACTCCATTGCTGCAAACTTGTTTGCTTCATGCTGGTCGGAGCATAGCGCACAAATGCGTGAAGCTCATCATGACTTGTGTCGAGTGAGTAATAAATTAAGAAATTTAAAACTAAAATCTAAACTCTCTGTTAATTCTATTTTTTATTTTTATTTTTTTAGGGGTATTCACAATATGGAGGATTCGTTGTCTCAAACGTTCGAAGAAACTGTGTTGTCTGTACTAGCTAATTTGTTGCCACACGTTGTAAGCGTCCAATGGGCTGGCTCACTGAGATGGCTTGCCATACTCATTACAAGGTTTTTGCCGTTAGATAAAAATCACACTGTAGCTCAACAATGTATTAATCTCATCCAAGACATCTCTTCTGAAATGTCAAAGCGCGTTAATCCTTACCATTTATTGCTGGCGACAAGGTACTACTAAATGTTATTCAACGTATAAGTACTCTCAAATGATATTAAATTATGTATTACTGAAATTTTAGATTTGGATTATACCATTCGCCGTTTGAAACTGAGTTATTCGACATGGATCCACCCGTGACCGCAAAGTCTAGTTCAGTACCACTAAATAACACCTACTCTTCTGTTACACCCGGTGATCAGCCCAGCACTGGTTTGACATCATCAAGCTTATCATATTCTCAAGATCCGATTGACTTACGGGATTTGCTGTCCCTGCCTACACATTCGGTTAATGACTTGGTTGTGCCGAGCAAATTGAAAGCACTTAGTGCCAACTGTAGCATGAAGGGTCTTCTTGAGGTACTTTTTTTCTCAATTTTAATTCATTACAGTAACAAAAACAAAAAAGCATCATATTTTCATAAATAAATAAAACTAACCTATGGGTTTTTAGGTTGAGCCTTTGCATTTTACTTGTCATGCGGCTTCTGATGGTACGAAAATGGAAAAAATTGACTCAAATGTCAATGCTGTTACCATTGGAGGTCCACTTTTCGATCCACCACCTGGTTTAAACGTTATTTCAAATTTCAAAGTGCATCACAATGCCTTGGTGAGTATCACATTTATTAAGAAACTGAAATGTATATGTTGATGTGACAGCACCATTAAAGTATATATTTAAGTAACGCCAATGAGTGCCATGAAAATTGTGAAGAAAGAAGCTAATAAATGTCTCATTGTTTCTCTTCAGAACTTTGAAATCGGATCTGAATCTAACTCTGATTACAAAAGCAAGATTACCAAAATGAGTGACATATTATTCCATTATACCTCAAAGAAAAAACCCAATTACAGCGTGATGGTGAAAAAAGTGGCTGAAGATTTTGAAAAACCAAGTGATTGTGAATATTACGATAGTGACGATATGCAAGTGCCGACGCTTATCTGGAGTGCGTATAACGACAAGCCATCCGTGATTTCTTTGTCCAAGTCAAAGGAAAAGCCTGTGAGTTCGTCGGCCCCGGCTCCAGTGTTGCACATGCCCAGTACAACTAACAAGTTCGACGAGAGCTCTACCAAAAAGGTAAATGAAAAAATTTATATTACACCAGTTTTTAAATACTAAATTATGATGGTACATGTAACGTTTATTAACTTTTAGAGAGACGACGTAACTTTCCCGTGGAACAGGTTATTGTACTGGCCACCTCAGCAAGCATTGGTTGTTGAAAGAATGCACTCAGGAGCCAGGAGATTTGTGATCCTAGATTTTGGATCTCCTATTCTTTTGACCGATTTGATGATACCCGCGTGCAGTGATTTGATCTCACTTTCCATTGATATTTGGACAAAAAGCGAAGAAACTGATGGTATTCGACTAGTTGTTGCCGGTGATATTGTCAGCAAGCCTCTAGTGGTCAGTGATCTTCAACCACCACCGATTTGTAGATACCTCAAGGTAAGACTCAATCTCTAGTTGTAGCAGCAAAAACGTTGGCAGCATCAAACTGGCGATGATAATAAAAACTGATTGTTATCTACGATTGAAATTGCAGATAACAACTATTGGTCGATACGGCATGTCAACAACCCGTTGCAAGATCCCACTAGGAATGTTTTACGGCCACATGGTTGTTTTATCTGGAGAAGATTATTCAGAACTAACAGCATCCGAAACCGATGTCAGTAACATCGCTGATCCAGTTATGCAAAGTAGTATTGAATTACAATGCAGCATCTTGTCGGCCCTTGCCGAAGATGTTCAGTGCAGGTTTACTTTAGCAACAGAACGTCTAAAGAGTTACCTCGATCCGTTATTGTCCACGGAAACTCCCAATGTAGTACACATGCAGCACTACTTGAACCTTGCGAAAAATCCAAGCGAAAGCAAAGAACAGCCTTCAGCAAAGATATTGTCTACATATCAAGTAATTATTGAACTACATGCTCATATTTATTTATTTCTTTTACTTTAATCATCACGATATTAACATACATTAATTGTAGGAATGTATAATGTATCAACACCAACTGAACATAATCCGGGGAGTGTGGCAAAGACTAGAATCTTGGAAAAGCTCAGAAAGTACAGCTCTAACCACACTAGCTAACGCTTCGAGTGATAAATTACGTATTCTTGGAGAAACTCTTCTAGACCTTTTACTGTACACTGTTTACGACATTGGTCCTGTTCCCATCGTAAGTCGCTTCGTTTATTGTTCACCAAATGTTCAGCACAAGCAACGTTAAATTTAAAACATTTTAATTTACTCGTGCAGGTACCAACAACAATATACGAAGCCTTTACACCAGCAGTGTGCGAAAAATTATTTAGTTCCATTTGCGTGACGACCCCGGCATTCCATTTGCAACTCTATGTCGTGGCATTGTTGGCTAGAATGGCTGGACATCAACCGTGGTGGGGAAATTTCCTCGCCAACACTTTGATGAACCTTTACTCTGCATCTTCAACCCACATTTTTCCTCAGGACAGGTTTGTATATTTCGTACTTGATTATATTATAATGTTAAAGCATAGTATTTCCTTGATTTTTATTTTATATATAACTTTAGAAACTAACGTCTGGTTTACATAATTCTAGGGTATTCATTTTGCTAACATTCCTTGGACGCAAGACCTTGACTACTGCAGCCAATAAATTGTCAGTAGTGGATGCAATGGTTCGGACGCTTGGAAGACTACTTGCGCCTCTGTCCGCTGGTCAGACGGACAATTCGAGTAGACTTGACACAACCCTGATTGGCTGGGTCCTTCTCTTTTTGTCCGTATGCCTGGATACCGTTTCCGCTCATCCCTCCTCTCTTGATGAGAATCACGATAAAAATAAAGAACAAGGTAGTAGTGCGCAACGGTGCAAAAAGTTTATTTTTAAGAAAATATAGTAAAGAATTTAAAAAAAATAACTTTGACGATATTGGTCACTTTTCACAGGATTCTCGTCTCGTTGGGAATTCATTCAGGGTGAACTGGCAATGCAGAAAAAATTCTTAAACTCCAATCGATCCTCGGCAACTCATAATTATCGCAAGAAACTCCAGAAACGCCTCATGCATCACAAACAGCAGTTACAGGACTTAGAACAGGCAAAGAAAGCTTTTCACACGTCGTCACAGGTACTAAGTTCTCCAGCAAATTGTATAAGTTTTACTCATTCATTGACGTGTTTTTAATTAAATTGCTTTTTTTTTTCTTCGACTAATTTTTTGCTTTATAAGTATGTGCCCAAGTCACATGCACTTTTGTTGACCCCACAGGTTTCGACTTTTTCAACCAAACTAGAGCAAGCATTAAAATCCCAAGAACGTTTTTACAAGAAAACTTTGAAACAGCAGTCAGCCAAACATTTCAAAGACTTATTTTCCATGAGAAGAAGTGAGCAGTACGGCCATAATCGAGGAAATTACCGTTCTCAGCCTCAACCTAGTACCAGGTAGATATCGATTCAGTTGTGTGAATTTAAACAACCATCACAACTTGGAGTACAATTGAATGAACTTTACCTTCCAGTCAAGCAGATCCATCAGATCCTGATGATTTTTCCACAAACCTGTTGCATCAGCATGTATTACCTGTAGCTCGAGGTCTGATTACACTACTGCTGAACAATGTCTCCAATGTTGATATGTTTTTATTGGCATGCAAAGTAAGTTACTTACTTTTAATTTTATACTCATCTGTCACTGTTATTCATTTCTATGAAACGTTATGTTAGGTAGTGGCGAGACTCGTAGTATCCACCCGACCAGCCATCAGTTTGGGTGAACTTATGACCGAGGATCAACTTTTGAAGCTAGTTAGGTTAGCTACTGGGACATCCGACACTGCCTGGTTATCTCACGCAGTCTCTTGTCTCTTGCAAGACTTACTTGAAGGTAAAATATCTATATATACGACCATTCAGAAAAGTTATAACATTACGTTTTGTGCAGGTGAAAAATTGTACCCTCGAAACGTTAACTCCAACGAAACAAGCGTGGTTGAAGAAACCTTCGAGCCGATACCTACCGAGGAAGCCAGAGTAGTTGAAGATGATGTAGCCGCAGTTGCAGGAACCAGCGCATCCAGTGCTTTTGGAAATGACGAAGGCTTTGCCGATGGCGACGAGGATACTCAGGACAGCATCATCGTAGCTCCGACCAATTCTTCGTCATCCAAAAGCAGTGGCTTCAATTTGCCGTCTCTGCTTGAATCTGACGATAGTGAATTTGAAGAATTCTTGGATAATATCCTCGAACGTGGAAAAACTATTCTTAAAAAAGGCAGCTCTTCATCGAAGCTCCCAACGATCATGGGCTCAGGGTATGCATTCATATCGCTCATGTCCAACTAGATGAAACGATAACAAAATTTACCTAATTCGATTTACAGCATCTCCCAAGCTATCGATGCAAGGTTGGAATACGGAGTGGAAACAGGAGTTGAAATAGCCCTTCGTAGACTTTCTGCTCTTGGCACTTACAATCTTCCTCTTGGTATAAATGCTTCGATCTGTGTAAGTTATTTTTTATACCGCATAATACATGACCGATAAGGTAGTAATTGATCATTTGTCCCATTTCAGCCATCGTCTGATGCCAGAAATCCACAGGCCTACACATCTAGGATGTCTACTTATTCCGATCGCAACCAGGAATCGTGGAACTTGTCCGATCCTCCCTTTACTAGTTTGTACATGTTAACTAGGTGTTTCGACAAAATTTTCACCGAATTGTATATGCAGGTATGTAATTACTCTTCAGTGGTCCAAATTTTTCTAGTAATCGTCATCATTTTATCATTTTCATTGCTTCCCACAGAGTTCTGGCACAAACGTAGAACTGGTTTTACAGCTGTGGCTAACATTAAATCTCGATGCGTCATTGGAATCTTCATCAGTGACAGTAGCAGCAGCGTCAAATTTCGATCCTTCTTTGACTCCAGTGATCCCACTGAATTCTTCAGCCATCACTGGACTGATATCTGCATTTTCCTGGTAAAACTTTCACATTTTTTTTTTGCTTTTGTCCAACAAATCCTGCGAGTCAAATAATTAAACTATAAAAAAAAAACTCTTTAATACTTTTAGGTATCCAGGAGTATCTTTGCGAGCTTGGTGTTATGCTTTGCAGTGCTTAACACTTGCTAGTAATCAGCCTCTGCAAACAGAACAAGTCGAAGCCGCGAGTTGTAGTACGCCACTCGATGGTTTGCTGGGTGGTATGGCAAGTTGCATAGTCAAAGAACGAAACATAGGTGCTATGCTGCTACGGCTTTTGTCTGGAAACGGATTGAACGTCGACGCGACCAATAAGCATTTTGGAATGGTGAGTTATGTAAGAAAATAACAAGTCTCTACTCGATTGAAATCTTTTTTCGGTTCTTCGTTATTTGCTCTTAACCGAATTTAATCTTTACCATTTGCAGGCTGGTCCGACATTGTGCCAAGCTTTGCAAGATTTTCTGGTGCGGTTGCAAATGCGCTGCGACGTCATAACGCCAAAAAGTGTGCTGGGAAATCTGTTAAAGGAACTATTACTCTGGGTTGTCTATCAATTGGTCCAACCTGGAGGTGCCCTGGTAGCTCGACGTGGCCCACTAGACGCTCAATGCAAACTCATCACTTCACTGTTGAACCTAAATTTCACAAACACCGATTTGGGCACTGCCATGAGCATATCGGAATGCGTGGGTGAAATTGTGTCGACCTATGTTAGAGGAGCAGGAGGTAAAATATTTTTGAAATATTTTTTTTACCAACATTTGTTTTACGTGGAGCCGAAACATAAGATCTTTTTTTTCTTTAAGTTGGAGCACAATGTGGCGGCACAACCGACGCCGCAAGCCAATCCATCGGTTTTAGTGGGTTGTATGCTTGTGTTCTCGGTGGAGACGCGAGACAGGGACGACCTGCGTCTTGGGATGCTCTGGTTGTCGCTCTTATCAAACTCGTCAGTAGACTTGTGCAAACACCCTTGCCACAAGTAAGTAAAATTGATTCAATAAAAAATGAGCATTTTATTTGGGTTCACGTATGATTCTTTGCATTACAGATACAATCAGGACGAGGTGATAGCACATCTGATATGGAACTCGGAGAGTCTTCTCAAGGTGCTGGTTCGAGTCAAATGGACCGCCAGGAAAAAATAAGTACATCTTTGACTGATGAGACTAAAGCGGAACAGCAAACGTCGACTAGGTCGCATCAATCGTCGAAACCCCGAGTACCGTGCGTTGCTGATACTGGTAAGATATAACGTCGCATATTATAGCTGCCTGTGTACCAATGAGTCACTTGATCGGTTAATACTTGCGAATTTCATCTCTAGTTTTACAACACGAACCTACGATGATGCGATTGCTGAGCACACTTGGTCATAGCTCTGGGTCACCTTTGTCAATGCTCCTAAGTGAAGGATCGAGTTCAAACACTACCTCAGAATTGTCGACGTCGCCATCCATACCAGACGCTACTTTCCAACTGCTAAGCACCATGATGAAGAAAGCGAGCAATCCTTCTCTCGTCTTAAATCCAGTGTATCAATACCTTGCCTCGTGTAAGTGTTGACATTTCATGTTTGTTTTTTTTTGTTTTTTATTATTGACAACAATTTGACGGTAAAATTTGTTACGTAAATAGCATGTGGCCAAGGAATTTCCGATCGGCACATAGAGACGATGCAACTGTCGGAACCATTACTCTGGTTTATCCTACGTGTTCTTGACAGCGTCGCCTCGATCACGATATTCACGACAATGGGTGGCGTGAAAGTTTTGTGCGAGAACCTCGTGAAATCCAGCAAGAATTGCAACAGCAACAACTCCAACTCTCCTGGAGTGATCGCACTCATAATGCAGCACTTGTCGAACGCGACGAACCTAACGCCCGTCGCGAGTGGTAGTGGCACTAGTAGCAGCAGCAAGAAAGCCTCGAATACTCTCGAGTTGTTTGAGGATGGTCTCATTAATTTTGCACCTCTTGGGACGGTCTCGTGGCTACATCCTACCGCCCAACCCGCGGACGTTTTGATACAAAGCGCTACACCGCACAAAAGGGCGAGAAATCCTGCTTGGTCGTACCACTTCTACCCCGAAGAGGCTTGGGTGGATCTGACGATTACGCTGCCGTGTGCGGTACTCCTGAAGGAAATCGAACTCCAGCCTCATTTGACGACGCTATCGAGTGAGTTTATGTTTCCGATTCTTGGTGATATGTATTTTAAAGTCATTTGAGGTTAATTTGAACGTATTTTTCGCAGCCTGCCCGTCAGCCGTAGCTCTGGAAATATCGCGCGAGGGAAACACTGCCTTAACTCCAATTTGCCCACCAATGCCCACAGCCGGCCTTACCTTTATTCGTCTGACACTCTCTAAGCCCGAAGTTGCAACTGCCGTTCTCATAAGACTGTACAAGCCACGGGACTCTACAAACATAAGTCTCAGTCAAATTCGCTTGCTCGGCACTACCGCTTTTGGCGATCCCAAATCAAACCATGACGTCATAGACGAGGAACAACTGAGTAAGACTAGGTACGTTAGAAAATACCAAAAACTGCTCTTATTCATCCGGTGAAAGAAAAAATGAATAGCGAAGCTTTTCTCTTGTAATTTTAGCTTGGGATGGTTGCGGCTAGTCCACCAGTGCTTGTGCATCAGCACACACCAAAATTTGTTGAACATCGAAGTCCTGAACTCGGCAGCCTCGGTCGGAGGCCTCGTTGAGTCCTGTTGTAATCTGTTGCTACTTCCCACCCCTTCGTTGTTTACGCCATACTTGGAAGGAGTGCTGCTTCAGCTTGGCTTGCACTCGTGCGACCTCGGTCTCCGATTGATTGGCCTCCTGCTCAACAATCCGACCGTACCTCTTCTGCAACCTTCGGTGATGAGCCATGAGATGACGACCGTTCAAATGGTCGTTGAATTGCTGGAGCAGCTCTGCTCCGCTCAGGACGTTAATACCAAAGCTCGCATGTCCGCTGTCTTGAGTTGGCTCTATGCTGTCGCAAGGATGTCTGTGTCCGGTAATACGGATAACCTGTTGGGTGGCTTGAACACGGCGAATCCACCAGCTGTGTACATTCACTGTATTTCGACGATCATTTGGAAAGCAACCAAACAGCAAAATTTGAACTACGATTTGAAAGAACTCCTTTCGGAAGATTTGTTCGAGTAAGTTCATGTCGAAGCTTCTTCTGACACCTTTATTTTCACCCTTGGATCGTTGTCCATTGTATTTATTTAATTTCAGTGCGCTGTATCAATGGACATTGGCCCTGAAAACACATTCAGCCCTCAAAGAAGCAATAGACGCGGCCCTGTGTTCCTTCTGCTTCGTCAAGCCATCTTTTTTCCAGCTACTCCTTGAAAAAGTTCAAATTTTCGTACCCACTTTGGCGAGCGATCAGTCGGCAGCTTCGATTTCGGATGACCGAAAGGAGAGCGCAGGCCAAACCGATGACGGCAAGAGCGCGTCCGAATTCAACGATTGGTACGCCCGTCTTGCTCAGTCGGAATTCAGACGTCTCTCATTGACGGAAGGCCAGCTGCTCACGGTGGCGGCTGTGTCGCGCTCGCCTCCGGGTATCTGTCAACTTATCAATTCGGGTCTGCCCACGTTATTGTCAGCTTCGATCGTCGAGTTTGCCATTTTGGAGAGATCAAAACAGACCCACGATTATCAGAGACAAAATGAAAAGGGATCGGTTGGTACTCTTTTAGTAGAATTTTTTTATTTTTACCATAACGTTAACTGACTGTTGTGCCGATTTTGCTGTTCACAGCCCATCGATGACACAAGAACCGCCGGGTGTTCAGATAGCGGGGCAGGAAGCAGCAGCAGTGATTTAACAGATAGCGACAAGGCTGGTGAGAGCTCGGAACAAAATGTTAAAAAGGAAGGTTTGAATATGACTGAACCGGAGAGCGTAGCGGTAGTATTGGAATTCTTGTCGCTCATCTGTTCGGAGGGTAAAATGCGAGATTGGATAGGTAAAGACGGTCATGGATTCTGGTTGCCTTTGCTCTCCTTGCTGAGCAACAGACCGATCGAAAGCCCATCTGTTACTTCATTAAAGTGAGTTGTGCTTGAAATTTTTGACAAGATTTTGGCGAATCTTTGATCGCGGGTTCAGTACTTATCCAAGTGATTTTTTTTTTTTTACAGGTGTTCGAAGGTTCACACAACGTATTCGAAATTAGAAAGTGCCATGATTAAGTTTTTGTCCAAGTGTTGCTGGTGCCATCCAGATAACCAAAAATTACTGGCTGAACTTGTCACTGACGTTATTTTACAACAAAAAACACCAGCAGGTAATTTGGGAAACAAATATTATTTAACGAAAGTTTTCGAATGCAGACTGTCATGTATTCTCATTTTAACCTTCAAGGGCCACGAGGAATTCATGGAATATCAGGTTTCACCAGAAGACTGATTCTCCAACTTTTGTTGGAAGGCGAAAAAATGCTGATATCCGTAACTTCGGAAACAGCTTTGAAACTTTCGTCTGCTGGCACTAGTAATTTACCAGTCATGCCACCACATCCGGCATTTCCTCTTGGTCACTATCATCATTTGCTGTACATGTCTACCCAGACTACAGTGGCTGATATTCTGCAACAAGTGTCTGGTACGTAAGATCTGCTGTGAACTGAATGCTTCACTTCTTGAGTAAGACAATGAAAAAAAAAATTGATAACCAAGCAAATCACTTGGTAGCTTCTACTGTTCTCAAATAATCATTTAAAAAAACGAAGCAGGTACGTGCGGCATCAGTGGCAGCACTTTGACAAACAGCAGTCTCATGGGTGCCCTCAACCGCGAGATCTGGGAGTCTGGAGTCGGTGTGATGCTAGACTCGTTGAGTGTCGCAGCTGGCAAGACCGCCAAGGACAAGAGAGCTAAGGACGCCTCAAACAGGTCCCAGGTTCGAGGTCCCATTCTGCGAAAATCGCGCAGCACTGCAGGTACACGCACACACTCTGACTCTTCATTCTTGTCCTTTCTCACATTTTTGTTTATTTTTCCATTGAAAAATTAACCTAGTTCATTTTTACTAACAATTTTTCTGCTTAGATGGAACTCTTTCACAAAGCAAGAGTTCGAACAGTAACTCGCAAGGTGGCGTCAACAGCACAGTCAACCAATATTATTTGATCGTGTCATCTCGTCCCAATACTCCACTGGCACCAGAACTCACCATAGCTCAATTACTTTCGATGTTGGAGGAAAGTGGGGTTTCTCTGTCGGAACCGTGCTTATACCTCACTCTGCGACACCGAAGCAAAGATTCTAAAGGTACGTTAGAGTAGTAGGCTGGTATATACACTTTGATAAAAAAAATCTATTCAATACTAATGATTCCGTTGTCCAAAAGAAGTGACAAAATCCAGCAATCGAAACATGCTTGCTGTGCGGCCCAGTATAAATAGTACATTAGAAGTATTCAGCGCGAAAGGAGGATTAGCTGTTCTAGCTAAGCATTTACCCCTGGTGTATCCGGATTCTAGTAGACCTGTTCCAGTCGTCGAAAAGTCCCCTACCCAGGAACAGTCGGACACTGACTGGGTGAAGATTGAACACAACGACAGTGTTTACGAGGATCTCGAGGAGTGTACGCACATTGGATCCTCGAGAACCATTCCACCCACACCTACGCCTCAAGTATGTTTTTTCCTTAGCAGTACCTTGAGCCATACATATACATAATCAAAAATATTTAAAAACAATAAAATTTACAGGTACCGCCTCACGCTTTAGCCGCGTTCGGTCTCTTCTTACGGCTGCCCGGTTACTCGGAAGTGTTACTACGAGATCGCAAGCGCGCTCAGTGCCTCTTGAGGCTAGCTCTCGGTGTCACCGACGACGGCGAGGGAGGAGACATTCTGACCTCGACTTTGGCAGCATCGCTGCCCACACTACCGTTCCAAGTACTGAAACAACTTCTCGATGACACGCCACCAACGACAGACGACGGGCTTCTCCTGCGTCGCACCTCGATCGAGGTTGGGGCTGTACTTTTGCTGCTGAACTGTTTGGCCATTTTTACCCATCAAACTGGACCCAACGAAGGTATTTCTACTGAACAAAATCTTTCAATGTTCTCAGTCTATCCAATTATCTTATTCACAATCGTACGATGTATGTTTTCCAAACAGGAACAAACCAACGCGGAGGTCAGAGTAACAATCGCAACGACGATAAATCGCAACTTTACTGGGCCAAGGGCACAGGTTTCGGCACCGGCTCCACTCAACAGTCCTGGAACGTCGAGCAGGCTTTGATGCGCCAGCGCTCAGAAGAGGAGCACGTGACCGTGCTGCTGCAGGTGCTCGCCAGCTACATCGGCATCGACGACGTTCCACAGAAGGAACTGCCTGCCATCTTTGCCGACTTGCTATCTCGATCGTGCCTACTGCCCGCGCTATCCTCGTACTTGCGCAACGACTCGGTCCTCGACATGGCCCGACACATCCCGCTCTATCGCGCTGTTCTGCAGCTTCTACGTGCCATGGCCAATTCGGTCCAGCTGGCGCCGCTGTTACTACCCAAGAACGACAATTCTGGCGATTCCTCGATCGTCTCCCTGCTGTCAAGCATGAAGGTCTGCGTTGACACCTACGTCCACAAGATCAATCGCACCAAGAGCAGCAAGTCCAAGGCAAGCAGTAGCTCTGTCAAGTATCCCGAAGACAGTGATCAAGATGAAGGACTTGCCACGCTCATACCGGACATTCAGGAGAGTGCAACGATCGTGAGTAGTGCAACTGCCAGGCTAGTCGACGCGAGTGAAGAAGTAGCGGGTGCTAGTCCGTCTGGGCCTGAATTATCCTTGAAAACCATCGAGCAGCGCTACCTCGAAGTCATGAAAAGACTGCAATTTGGTAAGATTTTTTTTTTTTTTTTATAGCAGTTTTGTTACATAAACCAGCAGACAAAAGTATTTTCCCGGTTTGTGCAACATCTTTCATTAGAGCAAGCGCAGAGAAATTATTGTTATTACTACATCCTGCAGATACGTTCGAGATGATAACGGAATGTCCCGAGGGTGGCTTTAAATTCGCCGTGTCCTACCACTTCGAGTCCAACATGCGACACGCGGGAGAGCGTAATCACCCGACCCGAGTCAAACGACTGGCTCAAGAAGCTGTAACTCTGTCGACGGCGTTACCGCTCTCGTACAGCAGCAGCGTGTTCGTACGCTGCGATTCCGACCGCCTCGACATAATGAAGGTCCTGATTACCGGACCAGCTGACACGCCTTACGCCAACGGTTGCTTCGAATTCGACGTCTACTTTCCCTCGGACTACCCCAATAACCCGATGATGATTAACTTGGAGACAACGGGCAGACGCTCGGTTCGCTTCAATCCAAACCTATACAACGATGGTAAAGTCTGCCTCAGTGTTCTCAACACTTGGCACGGCAGGCCCGAGGAGAAGTGGAATGCGCACACCAGTAGTTTTCTCCAGGTACACCTGCAGATCTTATAAAACGTTTGAAACTTGAATCAAATATTTTACGTGACTTTTGATACAAATAAATGTATGTTTGTTTATTTATCAGGTTTTAGTGTCCATACAGTCGCTGATATTGGTATCGGAGCCGTATTTCAACGAACCAGGCTACGAACGCTCACGAGGAACGTCTAGTGGAGCACAGTCTAGTCAAGAGTACAATGCCAATGTTTGTCAAGCCACGGCGAAATGGGCGATGCTAGATCAGATCAAAAGTCCATGCCCGTGTTTCAAAGAGGTGAATACTGTTTTTTGTTCAAATGCACGATTTGACTCGATTTGTACCTTATTCATCATTTGTGATAATTTTATGTTGAAATTTAGGTTATCAAGACTCATTTCTGGCTAAAGAGACACGAAATCGTGGCTCAAGTAGAAGGCTGGATCAGGGATATGGAGATGCAAGGAGCAGACAGGCGGTCGGCTAGGTCCATATCACTAAGCGCTATAGCCTTAAGGGTAAGATATGATAATGTTGGTTACACGAGTGATTAAATACTCATCCAAGTTTTATTTTTCGTTCAAATATTCACACATTTTCATTGAGTTTCAAAAGTGGTTGTTACATAAAAACTGTAAATTTGGTTTTGAACAGATGCATTACAGACAACTGAGAGAAGAATTGTCAAAACTGCCAACACCGGAGGGCCTGGAGGACCTTGCCGAGCCGTTGCGCCCGCCAAGCGCGTTCCTAGAAGTGTCAGGTAGCCCCGGAACACCAAGCACACCGCCTACTTCGACGCACGCTGTTGTCGCTACCACGACTTTTGCCAATTCCACGCTACCAAGCAGCAATAATCCCGCGGAGACGAGCAATCATGTACATCACGACATCGACACGGACGTCGAGATGGAGAAGATGGTTTCAAAAGTGTGCGAATGAGGAGAGCTGGCTGCAAACAAATTGTTGGACGTGTTTTAAAGTTTATCGTGTGTTATTGTGAATAAAACATAAAAAAGAGAAAAAAGGCACCGTGACCGTTGTGCTGACAGTGGATGATTGTGTATCATATAGTAAGTAACAAACTACAAACTGATGATAATAATTATTAAGTATAATAACAGCGGTAACAATGACATTGGATACAAGAGAGAGAAAAAAAATAACAAACAAACAAACGGAAAACAAAATCGGAACCGCGCCCTTTGGTTGTGTGCAAACAGGTAAAAGTGACAAAGCAAATGTATATCTTCCGAATACTGTATTCGGTTCTCTTAATTGATAAGTAACAGTTGATTTATCGTTTGTAAAGAGAATCCGCGGCTTAATAAAGATGCGTGCTATCATATTGTGATTGGCATACTGTAAAAGCACACGGAGCTAAAGTTAATTATAACTACCATAATATAAGTAAAGTGATGAGAGTTGATTTAACATAAACGAAAAGCGTTGACGGGAATCATTTATAGCGCGCGCATATTGAGGCTGCTATTGATATACATGTGCACTGCGTTCGTTCAGCTATTGAGTGTAATTGAATAGGTCCGTTACCTTTGCTATTTATATTTATCTATAGATGTTCCTCGTTTTAAAACCGACTACGTTTTTTTAAAAATATACATATATGTATATATTAAATATGCATATACTGCATCGGCGAGGCAATATACATACATATAATATATAAATCACGACGGCAAGATTTCAAAGTTAATTGTCTCTCCTTTGCAAGGAATCTGACAATTTGATGAATCTTGCAACTGTACAGATACAGTAGTTCAAAAGTCGGCCGCTTTGCTTTTATAAGTTTATGTTTTTTTTCGTAAATTGCATTCTTTGTTCGAAGTTAAAAAAAGGGGAGAAAAAAAAGTTGATAAAAAAAGAACTGTGCTGTCTGGTAACGGTTCTTAACGTTTTAAGCATAAGACGTTCGAAAGTTAAAACTTCATATTTTAATTATATCCTGTTAGAATTCATTAAACAAAAAAAAAAAAAAAAACACGATGTTGTGGTGTTTCAGAATTCTGTCATTATCGAATAACATAATATATTTCGCAGTTTCTTTTTTCTTTCACTTTTACATTTTAGTTGCATAAAAAAATTTATTCACTTTTTATTATTCATACCTGTCTTCTCTCTACAAAACGTTGACTTTGATACTTGAAAGAATATTGGAAAAGAGAGTGTTTGATGTAGATAGTGTTATGTTCATATGAGAAGCGATATTGTGATCAAAAGCGATCGCGGTGGCAAACGTTATTGGTAAACCGATTAATGTACATAATATCTTCATTAAGTAATCTTGCACACACAAACACACACGTCTATATGTTTATAATTCCAATAAAGAAAAAAAAAGTATCGGAGTGCTTGGTGGAGTGTATGGCTTAAAAATCATTAAAAAAAAAATTAAAAAAAACAAAACACTATGTTGATTAAACAGTACCTAAATAGAAGACAACAAAAAACTTACATATACAAATACCTACCTTTGTGCGACGTATGGTGTATGTGAGTCGCTTTACTGGTAAAAGAAATGATTGTAAAGTTATGTATGAAACAGAAATGTTAATAGTTATTTATAATAAACGATTATTACCACTGTATTTATTTCATGATTGACATTAACAAAAAAAAAATCATCTAAATTACATGAATTTTTTATTTTTAATATACATGGGTATTGAGCTACATATTCGCAAAAATTTTAACTGAATAATGAACCTCGTATGCACTTGGCACTTAATTTTCAGTCAATATAGATCTATTATGACAATAAAAACAATTACTTTATTACAACATGAAAGGAGTATATACCTAATGGGAATTAAATTTGAAAAAACTCCATTCCATTGAATACAATCATTGATTAATACATTTTCTTGATACTCTTTCAATAAAGATGTATTGTGAATAAGTAATGTAAATAATAATGGGACCATGGCAGTTCACCTAAATCCGTCGTTTCAATTATATTTTACTTGGCAAATGTATTAATGTACGTACGTACAGATACACACATGCAGATGGTATTTGTTCCGTTCACTCCGTTGTGGAAAGGGCTTAAAAGGATGACACATTTTCTCGTTTCGTGTAAAAGCCCTAATTTCCAATTCCTTGAGCAACATTTTGAACGTAGCTTTATTATGTGGTTTTCTCATATTTGTCCGATTTAAGCAATAAAATTTTATTAATTTTAGTGGAATTGTGGGTTAAACATAGGTTAACCACTTCAGTACTTTGATTATTTGACAAATTGACTAGACAGCCTCTAATGAAAATTTGATATAATCAATAGGATTCAAGACGTAAATGTCCATTAATCGACAATTTATTATTTACAACAAAAATTCTCATTTCTGAGAGGGAATTTTATTCTTCCCTCACATGCAAGTTGGACGCACTTAAAAATCAAAATATCTTGAAATAAGATTAATGTTTTCTCACTTTAAGAGGATATTTATTAAATATTTTCATGGTTCTAAGAAATTTTTTTCCTCTCACCGTTGAAATAGATAATACTACGAAAATGGTTAATAATTTACACCTTTTGTTTTGGATGTTCAGCATTTTTTATCAAAAACGTTTTGTATTATCAATTAGAATCTTCATTCCATATTTATACCTACACTCGTGTGCGGCACTGCCATACACTGAACAGTAACTTAGATTGTTTCAAGAGATTATACTGGATCATTGACGTGGAACTTGTCTACTAAATATTTCACTGGTTCTCGTAACTTTTTTTTTTCAGTGAGGTAATACTTATCACGGAAGATTGTTGTTACCAGAATAAGCTATACCAAAAGTGATGAGTATAGAAAAATAACGTAAGTACAGCAGGTCTTGAGATTTCTGCAACCGGTACAGGATTTTTCTGTACCATGGATAGTCTATTTAGTCTATTAAATTTGTATACTGCGCATGGCTTTCTACTGTACCCTGTACCCTGTACCGTCTACCGCGCATAGTACGTGCGCTTATAATATACAGTGGAGATTTGTATGTATATATATATGTGAATACTTGCATACATGTATGGGATTGTCATTGTTATTTTGGCTCAATATGTAAATTGTTCTTGGCGAGTGAAAACCAATTATTATACGCAACAGGAAAGTGACTACAAGTGCCTACTGCACTTATCATTATATCTTGTTAGATTCGTATCAATGTATTGAACTTTATATTGTGTTGTGGTGGATATACTGAAATCCTAACCTCTTGAACTTTTACAGCTACGTATATATATACTGACATTCTATATGCTCCCACTGGCCGACTAACTTTCTGTACTGGTACAGGAAAAACCCGTACCACGTATCGGATTTTGACGTACTAAGTATAAGGTTTATCTATACTCACTAAGGTACTTTAAAGTATACTACCGTACCAAATATACCTGTACCAGTACACATTTTTCTTGTACAGAGTATCGAAAATACTTGTACTAACATATAGTACCTGTTTTTCTGGTAACAACAATCTTCCGTGATAGTGGTAACTGGCTCAAGCTGGCTCAAATCAGTATGATGACTAATACACACTTGTGTCAGCTCTTTATTGGTTCCCCTCTTTGAATTTTGAATGTTCAGCTTGGTGTAATATCGAAATTTTGTACTTATATACGAGTGGATGTGTCCAGTCTGAAACTCTGAATCAGGAGTGGCATCGAGTCAGGCTTCAACTGTGCTCAATTTAAAAATTCGTATCGGTTAGAAAAAATATCCAATATGAAAGCATTGCAAGTTTTTGGTAGTTTCTCGGCTTTACTTTTCGCTGTGTATTATTGTCAACGTGCCGTTGCGGCAGTAAACATCGACCAACGTGCTTCAACCAATATTACCGCAGAAAAAACTACCGCATCTTGGACGATAAATAATTACGGTTTATTCGACAAGGATGATCGAGACGATCCTCTAAAATCACCGTATTTCTATTACGATCACAGTATCGGGTGGTTCTTCACTTTAACTCAGAACAAAAATTTCACAAAGATAGATGTTAATTTCGATGCAAGACGTAGTTTGAACAAGGTGTTAGTCAAAGTATCTCTACTTGACAAAAACCTAAACTTGTGGCCTTTGTTTCCTTCGCACATACCACGTTAAATTTACAGTATCCAACACCGTGGAATCAGTCCTTTTAGTACAAAAGCGAGATGATCTGGTGCCCGAGGACAAACTAACTATTATTGTTGAACTATCGTGGCGTACCAACTACATCGATAGCCAGTAACGTGTTGGCAATTTCGGTAAAGGACGAAAACAAGATAAAGTCCCACGTACTATTCAAAATTAAGTCAGAGTATGGGTTGATGAAAAATTTTTCAGAGTAAACACACGCAGTACACTGGCATCTGTCTTGAAGTATGGTATATTTATTTACAAAATAACGCAACACGTGTGGTTACAAGCGAAGTTAGTTGGTGAATACACGTATACTTGGACAATTTTATTATATTATCTTGAAGGAATCAGTAATCTGTTGGGAGACAAAATTCAGAAAGTGTATATACAACTATATTTTTTATTTTCTTGGCGCAATTATTTAATTGTTATTTTTTAATTTTTCATGAATAATGTTACACAATTATAATACTGTCAGCTTATTTTNTTCCACTTAATTTATCTAATTTTGTATAAAGACAAGCCAGCTTTGTCTACTGGATATCGTATACTTGTGTTAATCCATTTCTTTGTTCTCTTATCGGTTCTGGAGATGTCCTACAGCTTCCGTGGCGCAGCGGATGGCATGCAAAATATTTGAAAATTAAAAATATACTTTGTAAAAGAAACCGTGAAAGTTCTGTCCTTTCGACAATGTAATTTCTTGTAATAAAAATAATTTAACATAATGAAACATGTGTTTTAATTTCAAGTATATATCGTACGTATGTGTACCTCTACCGATTACAACTTAAAGTGTCTGGTTAAAAGAAGGTGATTTACGTTTAAAAACTTTGTGATGCCAAAAATTCAAGAGGATTTAAAACAAAAGGAGAGTAAACATGATAACCCTAAGGGAATTATTTAAACCTTTTACTTTGTTTAGCCTACAATTATTAAAGTGACACTTGCTGTTTTCATGAAATTAAACATAATATACGTACATACCATTTCAAAGATCTAGTACTTCTTTTAATAACTGATCGTTCGTCAGTAAAAATAATCGAAATCAGATTCGTCCATCGAGTATTTATTCAAAAATTGAAAGAAAAAAAAAATGCAAATTTACGTTGTACTGACACAAAGACGTAGAATAATAATGAGAGAGAATCTACATTTGTTCCGTTTAAAATAAGTTTACGATGGAACATAAATCGTTGGCTTAAAAGTGAAGTTTTGCCGTCATCCTTATCACGATTTATGTTTTCATCCACGTTGATTCTAAAACAAACCTTGACATGCATCGCCTCTGGAAGATAAAATTCATTATTTCCAGGTGCTCCTCAAGCTTCTGTTCTCCTCTTGTAGTAGTGGAGACGAAAACGCGTACACCTCGTACACTCGGTACAACCAATTATCTTGAAGAAAATTTAAAAACTCGAGTAAAAATGGAACAATTGGTCTTCAGTTGGATTGATTATTTACTGTTTTCGAGCCTACTGGGCACGAGCCTTTTGATTGGAATTTATTTCGGATTTTTCAGTAAACAAGACAGCGTCAGCGAATATTTGTTTGGCGGCAAAAGCATGGGGTACCTCCCCGTTGCCACGAGTATCCTCGCAAGGTTTATCGACAATACATACTCTTATATAATAGCTTGCAATTTTTTTCACATTTTTTTTTTCTCATGCACGCACCAACGTTAAATGGCATGAGAAATATTGTTCCGAAAAGTAACAATTGCCACGTTAAATATATCTAGTCGCTCGGTGATGACGAAAAAAATCCCCTTTTGCAGTCTCCTGTCCGGAATAACGTTTCTGGGCGTACCCACCGAGGTTTACCTGTACGGCTGTCAATACTTCCTCACCGTTTTCAACACCATCGCCACCGGAGCTCTCACCGCCTACGTGTTCATCCCCGTGTTCTACAACCTGCAGATCTCGAGTACTTACGAGTACTTGGAGCTGAGATTTTCACGGGCGACCAGACGCTTCGCATCGGTATTGTACGTAATATCGCTATCGATGCACCTGCCGATAGTCATATACGTGCCGGCACTTGCCTTTTCTCAAGCTACCGGGTACAATCTCCACTTGATAACGCCTCTCTTGTGCATCGTTTGCATCACTTACACCTCAATGGTAATGAATACTTACTTGTATCATCGAAACATCACATTAGAGCATTTATCCTCACCAATGGAGATCTCTTTTCATTACATTTTTTATAAACACTCAGGGAGGTGTTAAGGCTGTCGTTTGGACGGACACGATACAGTTCATTTTCACAGTCGGAGGACTGAGTACCGTTCTCGCTGTCGGTGTGTACTCGGTGGGAGGGTTTTTCAATGTCTGGAAAATATCAGGCCAAGGAGGACGCCTTGACATATTTGAGTAGGAAATCGATACATCCTTTGTTCTGTATAATTTTTATTTTTTTATTAGTATTAAGAATTGTTTAGTCATGAAATTGTTCGTCGATGGTGTTGTGATCGTTTTAATGGAGTAAAAATAAAAATGCGATGTTTCGCGTTGTTGTTACGTATATATTATATTGTTAAATATAGCTACAAACGTTAAAAGAACCTGATAAGACATTAATTTGATTTTTTTTTTTTTTTTAATGATGTAATTGAATAGTTGGAGAGAGTTTAACATGATCTCATACTTCGAAACAAACTGATGTGGATAATATTGTTGTATTTTAGTGATTTTCAAAGAATTTTTGCTACAGAAATTATTTTTATAAAACATTTATATTTTCAGTTTCAACCCCAGCCCATTCGTCAGAAATAATTTTTGGTCGATGACGATAGGAACTACGTTCTCGTCGCTAAGCCACTCTGCGGTTGGACAAAAATTCATACAGAGATATTTGGCTATAAAATCGCTAGCTGACATTAACAAGTAAAAAAAAATTACAATCTTACGAGTAAACGTTAATTAGTCACGAAACTTTTATCAAGTACAACAATATTTCTGAATTTTTTACTTCGAATTGGTAATTGGAACGAATTAATTTCGTGATTGTTTTTTTAAAACAAAAATATATTTATTGATACAATTGAGAAATGAATTATTTTAGAGCTGTTTTGTTCAAGACCGTAGGCACTGTGATCATTGATGTGATGTGTACGTATGCCGGTCTCGTAATATACACTCAGTATTATAATTGCGATCCGATCAGTGCAAAAGTAATTGAACCTCATAAATGTAATCGCATAAATACGCGACGCTATGAACTATGTTTTAGTTATTATTATTTTGCAGTTAATTTCGCGCAACGATCAAATTGTTCCTTACTACGTTATGGATATCACGAAAAACTTGCCGGGCATAGCTGGAGTGTTTCTCGCTGGTATAATCAGTTCTGCTTTGTCAACTATGAGTGCCGGTATCAATACCTTATCTGGCATAATATATGACGACTTTATCGAGCAACGGATGCCCGAGTGTCCCGAAAAAGATGCCAGAGCAGCTAATATTATGAAGGTAAACTATCATCGTGGATTTCAGCACTTTATGAAAATTTTAAAACATGGATATTGAAATTTTAACTTTAACTAATAAACCGAAATCTAAAAAGTTCTAAATCTTTTTACACTATAAGAGGGTCAATACGCTACACTTCATCTATGAAGCTAACGTTTATTTTTAGAGTTTTTTTAAAAATAATTATTATATTCATTAATACATGGCAAAGAAATTTGATTATAGTACTTTAAACGCAAATTAACACCCATGTAGGTTCTGTGAATTAACTATTATCAAGAACAATGCTTCAGTTTTTCCCAAAATTCTGATTATTTATAACTGTTTGACGATTATTATTCACCTGTTGCATGTATAATTAAGCCGTGTTTTTTCTCTCTTTGTATTAAATTAAAATTCCTTTAATATTATTTAAGCAGAGAGGGTAAGGTACTGGACTCAGATGCAGGAGGTGGAGGGTTCAAATCTCTTTATTAGATTTTTAAATTAAAATTCCTTTAAAAATTAATTGCTTGGAAGTGTGAAGGGGAATGGTGGGCAAAGGTGTGCAGGAGAGTAGCGCGTCACGAGTGACAGATACATGGTGGGGTGAGGGGAGGTGTGTAGCGAACTGATGGTAAGAGGGACGGGGTAAGGGGGGAAACTTGAGAGGAAGAGACTTCCGGTAAGCTACTTCCGTTTCATCAAATCTGTCGGTTTTAAAATTCCAGCCCCCCCGAGTACGCGACATAAAGAACTTTGTTCTAAAAAATTTAATTACATAATTAGATATTTTTCCATACCATTAATCCTATCATCGTAACAATTAACTCATGAAAAAAAAAATAAAAAAATTCACAGGTCATATCCGTGTTCGTGGGTCTGATCAGCATAGCGCTGATTTTCGCGATCGAGCACATGGGAACGGTTCTGGAGATGTCCTACAGCTTCCGTGGCGCAGCGGATGGACCCTTGCTGGGCTTCTTTTTGCTCGGAATGTTCTTCCCTTGCGTGGGGAAAAAAGGGGCGATGACGGGCGCCTGCGTCGGCTTGTCCTTCATGCTCTGGGTAGTCGTTGGTGCCAAGTGGCACATGCTTTACAACCCGAAATCGCCAGACACAAAACTGCCCATGTCGACCGCAAACTGTTCGGTTGTAGCCAACGAGACAATATTTGAGAAAACTGTGCTCCCAACGTCAAAGGCATACGAGGAACCGATGATTCTTTTTCGAATATCGTTTTTGTACTTTTGCCTCGTCGGGACCGTTATTACTGTGGCCGTTGGGGTGGCTGTCAGTTACATCGTCGGGGAGTCTAACAGCACCAAAGTTGATCCGGATCACTTGACTCCTATCATGAGGAGGTAAGTGCATCTATGGATATAACGATTTATTTGTATAGCTTTAGAAGTTTACTGTATCGTCGGTATAGAAAAAACATGATATTTCGAAATATTTATGTGAAAAAATCTAATGAAAAAAAGTGATTGGGTATCAAAGTATGAAGTTATACTTCTATAAAATTATATGACAAACAATATAATTTTGAGTATAAAAATACTTTATATGAAACAATACTGTGTACGAAGGTGGTGCAATTATAGTGGGAATGAGTATACCTACGTTGATTGGGTATGAATTTAATTAATATTTAATGAGATAACGATTATTAACAATTTATAACAGCAGAATAGAATAAAAATAATATATAGGCTGACTAGTACAAGACTGTGCGCTTTTATCGAATCTTCCGGTGATTTTAGAACAACTTTCTACTGCCTACGCTGATTACATCTGTAACGTCACGCTTACATTTATCACGTACGATCCCACACTTATTTCTCGTCCATATTTAATACCCAAAATATAAATGTACATAGAAAATTCAGAAAAATCATCCTGCAGTATAGCTTTCTTAAATGGAGTAGTAATACATGCCAGTTAATGTCCCTTTAAAACGTTCATCACACATAGGTTTTTTTGACGGATATTATTCAAACGGCAAACGTATACTGAAATATCATAAAAAATACCCACAAAAATTGCAGCTTGTTTGATTGTGCCATTATTTTATACATGTTACATTTTAAAAAATTGATATTTAACATGTAACCTTATAAAAAAATAACGTTAAATGGCTTTTATTTGATTTTTATAAATCTCCTAATTTTTGGGTACAAAAGATTACTTTTAGATAAACCTATGGAATTTTCAAATAGACCCACAAGTTAGTTTGTACAGTAGATGTATCGACAAGGAGGAAAACAAACCACCCACGAGTCCTTATTGTAATCGGAATTATAGTAATCTTACATCTAGATGCATCAACTCTTGCATACACGAGCATATAAATCCGTGCGTTAACCAATGCATGAATTCAGTTGACATCCAATAGTCCTCTGAATTACGCGATGGTTTTTGAAGTAACGATGCTTACTTGCTTGTCTTAATTTTCGTTTTCTCTATTGTTTATAAATCGGCTTCAGGTTATCAAGTATTCATTAATTTGGATTTAGTTTTATTTCGTAAAAATTCATGGGAAAAAAAATGTTATATATATTGGTAATGATTTACTTGGATTTTACAATAAACGTATTGATATTATAAAGTACATGAGTTGTTTCTAAATGTCTACTCGATTCATTTTACTTCCACACCCAAAAATTTTGTACATCTATCGTCTTAAAAATAAGTATTTGAAGAAAAGTGTTAGCCACATCTTCGTCTACGCTTCAACGACTATGTGTTACCACCAAGTGCAAAACACTGCTACATGTTGTAATTCAAAAAATGACGATCGTTGTCATGTTGAAAAGATGTTAATTTGTTTTCAAAAAAGACGTTTAGTTTTACGACGAACTTCAATGAGCAAGAGTCACATATTGTTTGTAAATAATACATTTTTGCTTGATTCGATAATTTCCCTTGGATGTTCCTTCCTTTGCGCGAAGCTGAATTTGTCACCTAATTGATTGGAGAGGCTGAGTTAAATTCCTTTTCATCGAACTCTCGGAGTTTCATTAGTTTACCTCATTTTGACAAAATCCGGTCTTACTTTTGCGAAATAGTCTCTTTACATTTACATGAATATTTTGTTACTTATTTCAGTAACAATTTTGGAATTTCTTTATCGTACAACGTTAAAATCGTTTATAATTTTTTAATGTCAGATAACAAACTTTGGTATCTGTGCATAAACTGATTTAATTGGTTCGTTTTACGATTCCCATATCATTTCTAAGAAAAATAAAAGACAACTTTTTTCTTAAACTTAATAAATTTAAATCTCATACGATCAACATTTCTGTTGATAAATAATATGTTCAATTCAAATTTTTAGTGACTCAAATAAATTCTAGTTAAAACTGAAAGACATCGAAATTTATGTTGAATTTATGTAAGAAAAACTTGGAAGTTGGAACGATAAACATCCAAACAATGTCAATATTCATTGAGAATACAATCGTAAGCCAATTTACTTCAAATACTTCCACTTAATTTATCTAATTTTGTATAAAGACAAGCCAGCTTTGTCTACTGGATATCGTATACTTGTGTTAATCCATTTCTTTGTTCTCTTATCCATTACCAATAGTTAGGCATTTCGTGACAAGTGACACTAGGTAGTTTAAAATAAATTTTAAAACAAAATTGAAATGATGCATCAAAAAATATACTAGATATTAAGTAGATAGCTAAAAAAGTGTTTATTACAAAAAAGTACTTGGTTACAGTAATTATTGTTATTTTTAGCTGTTGATACTAAATGAATACTATGTTTTTATGACACTTATAATGCACAATATGTTGATTAAAATCTATTAGAAGGTTTTTTTTTGTTTCTACAATATGTATTACACATTGCGCTCTTTATTTTACCGATACGTGGTAGCAAATTTTGAATAGCTTTGTTATCCTTATAAAAACCAGACTTTACCTTTTGGGAGAATTCGCGTACTCGAATCTCATAAAAATTATAAGTCAATGTCTTCACAAAATAGTGTTTAAACAAAAGATTTAAAAAAATTTTAATTAAGCTTTTCTTGTAAGCAAAGTTAAAGTACTGGAAAGAAATAATAATGTGGTTCTTAACTTTCTACGCTCAACTTCGAAAATAATTAAATATTAAGATGGACTAATACGTCGTATTTCAATTTTGACTCGAATAAGTAGCAGATTTCGTAGAATTCCTATGTACTCAGATATCGTAACTACACGTATAACAATAAAGTTTCTTACACTTGGACACAGAATTTGGATCGATAGGGATCATCTTGTAAAAATTTCAAAACCCAGGCATTAATGTTCGTTGATTTTTATTGAATTTAATAAAATTATTAAAATTTGCCAGTACATTTCGAATTTTACAAACAAAAGACATACATTTTACTGCTACCATGTAACATAAATGAAAAAGATTTTTTTATACAAAGTGCACATTAACTTGGTATATTTCATAAAGTGACCATTACATTGAAATTTGGTATTGATGATATGCCTCGTAAGCTTACATGAATTTTTAATTTTATTTAGGCAGTAATGAAAATGTTTCCTGCATACGGTGTTTCTCTTCAGTGACGGAACCATTATTTCTTGCACTATTTTATATAATGGCATACCATATATTATTTTTTAGCTGTTAAATATGTTTTGTAAGCTATGTCAATCGAAATTTTTGTTATCATGTTGCTCGTTGATTTTAGCTCGACGAACCAACTCACTAGGTTGAATAATATTGTACACTGGTTTTTCATAAACCGTCGCGACACGCTGTCTAGGTATAAAATTTGCTACATCTTCGTCGCTATGATGTTTATCTTGGCGATTTACAGGAATAAATAAATCCATTTTGCTGTCATGTTTTTCTTTCGATTCCTTACGCCGGCTGTACGTGACTGAGACTTGAAGTACAATGGTCAATTCATCGTTGGGCAGTAGATTATCACGTTCACGTTCCAAAAATTCCAAGTCTACTTCATTATTTACCGAAAAACTGATTTTTTTGTTAACTCGCTTCTCATGCGTAGGAAACAATGTCCACGCTTGTTGTTTGACGTTAAGCAGAGATATCATGAAAAAAACATTATCCACCGACGATTTGGTAGTGGCATTAACGCGTATTTTCAAATGTTTTGCGTCCGTCCTCAAGTTAATATTCCACGTGATACTTTGGTTCAACGAGAACGAAGGTGACATCACAGAGGATAGAAAATTAGGCCCAAATAAACCGTATTTCTTCACCGTCCAAGCAACTGTCTTCATTGCAGCGGTTTTATTAATGTCAGTTGAGACCCACTCGTCAATTTTGACTCCAGCATTTGCGTAATGACAAAATAACAAAACGCAAAGTAGAACAAAGACTCTGCCAAACTCAGCTAACAGATTCATGTTGAGAAAAAAAATGATCAAGCTCAAAATGTGAGCACGAATTTTATGTTTAACGGTATGTACTTGTTTTCGTTTGATTTGCCAAAGAATGAGTCTGAACTTGGTGTAACTTTTGAATCAACTGGATATGGTACGAGACACAGTCGCTTAAGTACAAAAATAAAACGTTTCGTGATTGGACGAATATTGAGGGTAAGAGGAGGGGAACCAATGAAGGACTGAAGAGAGCGAGTTTGACCTCCTTTGGTCTCCTACTTTCCCGACCGTAAGTTCGTTGACCGGAGCTAAAAAATACGATTCGACTGCACACGTTTTCAAGTAGAGGAAAATTCGACATTTTCCTTCAGAATTTCTTCAAGAATACAGGAAAAACAATAAGTATTGTTTTTTTTATATGATAATTCATGCACAAATACACAAGTGTTTAAATATTTTAAATTTAAAAATGCGTGCAATGTATTTATGTATTTCTGCATCACCCGTACTGAATTACTTCTTTAGTATCTTAAATATCGAAGCGTACAAAAAAAATCTGATAAATCGTGTTGTAAAGCTTGTAGTTAAAATTTTGGTTATCTATAAAATGCAATACCGTAGTGTTGATAAGAATTTGAGGAATAACTTTATCTGTGGTGTAACAAGTATTTCATCACTTCCGCTAAACTGGGCACTTTTTAACGAGACTAACCAGTATAGGAAAGCTGTGGAGTGAAAAACTTGGCTGTCAGAGATTTAACACGCATACATGAGTTAACAAATTCTGTGACGGAAATGGTTTCATCTCTACAGCTTTCTCATGTCAATCGTCGAAGAAACAGATTATTTACGTTAATAGGTTTGGCAAATTAATTTACGAAGAATCGATTAGATTTTTCTTAAAACGTTTATCATCGCTGCTGTTATGTATTTCATGAAAAATCGAAATTTCAACTACACACTTTGAATTAACCGTGTAAAGTAACGTTGAAAAAAGTTGTGAG